CTGGAAGGGAACCAGGTGCCAGGACAGCAGAGGGATAGTGAGGTCAAGTTGCCCAGTCCAGGTGAGGCATCATGTGACCCTTTTTTGGACCTTCTGCGGTGATGAATTACTTTTAAAGGCTGCCCATGCATAATATATTGCAGAAGTTTAAGCAGAAAATGACCAGAGTATGGCTAGTTGTGTCAAAGCTGTTTCTATCCAGGGAAGGTTTCAGCTGTCTTAAGAACCGAAACTGATGAAAGGTGTTCTCAGTGACCTTTCACTTGAACTGCGGTGACAGTGCCGGTTTGCAAGGGCCCGCGGACTTTGAACCTGACCTTCGAGTGGGAGTGCTGTCCTACCGAGAACAGGCTGAGTGGCTTTTACCCCAGTAGGTGACTCACCAACCGGTAATGTCTGCATCTTGTCCAGGTTGCATCCTGGCTCGTTTGTCCGCATCCAGTTCCTTAGCCCTCCTTTAAGACAGCTGCAGCTTTGCCTGCATCTAATCAAAAGGAGAAATCGCACCGGGTAATGTCAGATAAGGACGCTGCTGGTGGAACAGGCGGCATAAAAATACTATAATACTATAGTATTATACTATATAGTATTATACTATAATCAGTGAATAATAAAACTCTGTATGGCCTGGATTACGGCAATGTACTCTCTATAGGTGTGGCTTTCGGGTTGGTCTGAGAGCTGCAGATAGTGCAGAATGCAGCAGCTCAGCTGTTCCTAGCAGCTGCCGTTTTTCAGCATGCCAGTCCTTTCCTTAGGGAGTTGGACTGGCTGCTTTCTTGCTACTGGGCCAGGGTCAAGACTGTGGGACCACTGTACCTGGGGGAGCGTGTCCTCCCATGCTACCCTGCTGGGCGACTGAGATCAGCAGAGGGCATGCCGCTGGTGGCTTCATGTGCTCCTCTGGCCTGGTTGGTGTCCACCCAGCAAAGAACCTCCAGATTATGGCCCCCTTTCTTCGGAACACCCTGCCTCTGGCTGTTGGTTAATGCTAGCTCCGGGACATAAGCGGCACGTGTTTATTGCAGGAGTACCAGAACCAGGAGTGAGAGAGGAGATGGAGGTTATGGCAAGTTGCACTCGCACTAAAGGAAAGGTGGAGTCAGGCAGAAGAGAGCATCGGAAGCTGCTAGAGGCAAAGCAGAATCAAGGGCAAGAGGGGGTCACATGCCCACAAGGCATGGCAGGTCCAGAAGCAAGGGCGAAGTCAAGGACCAGGGAAGGTCAGATACTGGCAAGGCAGGGCAGAGCTGTAGAGGAAGGTGAGGAGCAGGTACTGCCAAGGTGGAGTCAGGAACAGGGCAGTAGTCAAGTCAGGAATGAAGATGCCATGGAACTGGAGGCAGAAATAGGAACTGGAGTCTTAGGTCGCCACCACACAAGTTCATGCTGCTTGTGGCAAAACTAGGCCGGTCGTTGTGTTGTGTTGTATTTTACTATTTTCTTCCCTCTCCTGTGACTTCCCACTGTTTTCCTTGATTGCAGTGTCCTTAGTCCTGCAAGTACTTGCAAGGTGGGCCAGGCTGCCTGCTCTGATGAAACACCAGAAGGTGTTGTGCTTTGCTTTGCAGATTTTCACGGCAGGCACCAAACTTGAGTGGCTTTCAGCACCTTCTGCAAACACTCCAGTTTTCCTGAACTAACTAGCCATGGTTATATTGATTTTGTTTCGAACGTCATATTTTATTCTTTTCCCTGTCTCGTCTTTTGTTATCCACTGCTCTGAAATTTCCATATTGGCTTTTGGAGTGGTACATAAATTTTGCAAATAAATGAATAATAAATGCAGGTGATGCCTCAGACCAAAGCTCCCAAGCATTTCTTGTAAAGGTTAAACACCATGGGAAAAAGAATAGAAACCTGGGGAAAGCGAGACTTGCAGAGGCTGAGCTGTGCGGTTCCAGCGCCAGCTTTGGAGAATGGGCCACCTGGCTCGATGCCGTCTGCAGTGGAGACAAGGCGACTTCATGTTAGAAGGCAGAAGAAGAAGAAGAAGAAAAGGAAGACCAAGTAAGAGATGGATGGACTCCATCCGTAAAGGAAGCCGCTGCCTGGAACGTGGAAGAGCTGAACAGCGCTGTCGTGGACTGGCCAGTTTGGAGAGCGTTCTTTCATACGGCTATTCATATTATTCAAGCAGGCACGCACACATGCAAGCAGCAACGACAATAACGACAGGGTAGCAATATGTAGGGAGATGACTTGGTGGCACATAACTCCTGGGCTTCAGACAGGAATGATTTCCAGCCATACCTAGAAATACTTGATTGCACCTGGGACCTTTCGATTGCAAAGCCTGTGCTTCACCGTTGCCCTGTGGTCCTTAAGATCTGGCCCAGGGTGGAAGTAACAGCTGTTAAATCCAACTGTTACATATATAAGGCGGCAGTGCTTTTTAAACTCTCTTGTTTTTTTTTCTACCAAGCAGGTGGAATGCCAAGATGCTTTGGAAACAGCTGCTCGGGCAGAAGGCCTTCCCTTAGATGTTCCCACAAATTCGCACTTTGGAGTGTTGGATGAGGGCCACCAACACTATAAAGGAAAATATCACCATGGCTTGAACTTGATGAAACCCATTCGGACTACTTCCAAGTAAGACTTTGAGTTAAAGAATTACAGGCACAGCTGGCTTAAAAATAGGCTTTCCTAGAAATGATAGAAGCCTGTTTGCAGGGAAAACAAATTCTCCTTCAAACTGTGTTTGTGCTTATACATAGATGCTTGACAAAGGGAACCAGCATATATCTTTGCTAAGAAAATGTTGCTTTACTTTGAGATGCTCTAGTGCTTTCCTCTTGTTCCTCATGTATATTCTTTTCCTGCCTCTTCCAGACATCCACACCCGCTTGATAATGCTGGACTTTTCTCCTATATGACCTTTTCATGGCTTACTCCTCTGGCACGAATAGCCTACAAGAAGGGAGAACTACAGACAGAAGATGTTTGGTCTTTGTCAACTCATGAGTCCTCAGAGGTCAACTGTAGAAGGTATTTATATTTAATTTTTTTATTGAACTTACATTCCACAATTAATAGTCCAACAGGACTCTATCAGGGGATCTAGGTATGGTTGCTATGCTGTCTCTAAAGAGATTCTGCTCACCAAACACAGCTAAATGTCGGCAGAGCCTAGTACAGTATGTTGTGTTGGGTGATGGTTGGAAAGCTTTTCAACTTTTCCCCTTGAAGTAGCAATATCCATTTTTATTTACCTTTTCGCATTTATTTTTTTCCTCCTGCCTTTCAGAAATGAGCAGATCTTTTACTTTTTGTGCTTGCTAATCATTTGACTGGTGGTTCTTCTTTAGGTATCGCCTGCTCTAAAAAGGGAAAAAAGTCTTAAATAGGTCCTGTCTTTCTTCTGCATATCTTGTGTTGCTGAAGAAAGGGTTATCTGTCTTTTCAGCATGGTGGATTGAATTGAATTTAATTCACTCAGAGGGATTTAAATCTTGGCTTAAGTCAGCAAGAAAAAGAGTTTCATTTAGAGCATTGATTTTACACCAGGTGTCCCACTGATGCTCCATATATTTTCTAAAGTATGGTGCAAATCTGATCACTAAACCATTCATTTACTGACTCTATTTTATTTTTATTTTAAACCAGGCTTTGCATCTCATTGCTGCATTGTGAATATATTGAACATGATCTCCATGCAGTGAACAGTTGTCATTGTGCTTTTCTGTGTGGCTTCTTGTTCTACTCCACTTCAGTCCATTCCTGCACTCATAAAAGCAGGAAAAAAGCAAACCAAGTTGAATGTTTATGCCTGAAAGGTTGAAGCAAGGCCTGATAGTTACTGGGAAGACTACAACAGTTTATTTATTTATTTAGAGTTTTTGTATGCCGTCCCATTGCTTAATGCCTCAGGATGGCTTACATAAATAAACATAGTACAAAAAATATAGATTATACAAATTAAAAAACCTGATTCATTCTGGCTGCAAATTAAAACCTATAGTTAATATTAAACATTATTAAAATATTGTTTAAATAAAAAGGTCTTAGCCTGGCACCGAAAACAAATAACGACGGTGCCAGGCGGACCTCTCTGGGGATTCTATTTCCATAGAATACTAATTTTGTAATTAAGAGTATAAATATTCATATTTGACAAATGTTTGAACCTGGTTCTTCCTTTTCACCGAAAGCCTCCTTCAGTTGAGTGGGTCAAATAAGGACGGAGTGGGAACCTCCGACCTGCAGGCCTGCTTTGCCATGAAGGGAAGAAAAAAGGTTTCCTTTTTCTCTGCTTAACAGGAGAATGCAGGGCTCTCCGATCAGCTGTTGATTGGAAGTCAGAGCGTTTCCATGTGGGGCGGAGGTAGAAGCTGTCGCATCATTCCGTGTGGCTTCCTTCCGAGCCTGGTCCTGCTTGCTCCAGGGCTGTAGCACCTGAGATCTCTCCTGATCTGGGTTGGAAAAAGTTGGTCCCTGGGTTGGAAAAAGTTAGTCCCTCCTTTGGTGAAGGCATTGACCGTTCAGAGGCCCACCGCAGGACCAACCTGCAAATATCTGCAGGGGTTTTTTCCCTGCTTCAGTTTGTTTGTTTGGATGTGTTTACAACTTCCCACCTCCAGAAACAAAAAGAAACCCGGAGTTTCCAACTTCGACTTGTCAGGGGAGCCATGCCTCCAACCTCGTAATAGAAAATGAAAGAACCTGGTATTTACAGCAGATCAGATCCTTTCTGAAAGATCGTGCCTATCCAGAAAGATCCCTTTGATCTGTGTTTTGTTCCGTCCCAGGTTGGAACGACTGTGGCACCAAGAGCTGCAGGAGTGCGGGCCGTACGACGCCTCTCTCCGAAGGGTGGTCTGGATCTTCTGTCGCACCAGGCTCATCATTTCCATAGTGTGCCTGATGGTTACCCAACTCGCTGGCTTCTGTGGACCAGTAAGTACATTCCATCCTTTGTCTAGCATCCAGAATTGGCTCTATCCAGAGGCCAGTGCTAATGTGCTCCAGTTGCATTCCAGTTGACCTCCTAAACTCTTTGATTAGTTAGACACCTGCCATGCAATTTGCATAGAAGAAATAGGCCGTCCAGAATGCTGCAGGAATCTTAAGGCTTCCAAACCATGATATATATATATATGTGTGTGTGTGTGTGTGCGTGCGTGTGTGTGTGTGCGTGCGTGTGTGTGTTGTGTATTTTTATTGCTTGTACCAGGTGGTTGGATAGGGGAGGGTGACGAAGGTTTCTGCCCAAAAAGCAGTTACCTGTGAGCGAAGCTGTCCTTCGCAGGTCACTTGCTTTGGGTGGTCTCTGCAGGACGCGGAGCAGAGTCCCGGTGTAGGTCGCTTCTTGAGTTCTCTAGGAAACAAAGTTCAGAGGATTCTGCAGGGCTAGGGTGCTTGAAAAGATGCCCCCCATTTGGTGGCACGATTGGAAGACCGCCGCTGCTGTTGCTGCTGCTTCTGGTAACGAAGGCGCAGCACCTAGAACGTGGCGTTCACATCATTTCTTGTCGCCTGTTTGTTGCACGTGCTGTGCAAGATTTACTCTTTGACATCTTGACTTAATCTATTCTCTACAAATTTCCCCTGAGGAGTAGGAGCAGTATTTTTGCTTGTAGTGCACATTTCAGTGTGCTGTTAAGCGGGATGGTTCAGTGCTTGGGTAAGTACGGCTGAGGAGAATGTTACAAACAGTTACTGCTTGTTGTCTTGTTTAAAATTCCCCAGTCCTGCCCATGTCCTTAAATATCGACTGTTTCCTTGCGCTCCTTGTCAAGAAGGAAGTAAATAGCTTTTCTTGGTATATTTTGTTAACAGCTTGTGCTGACGGAAATTAAAACACTTGCAAGAGGTTTGATTGGATATGCTCTTGATTGCCAGTAAGAATGAGGTTTTAACAGAACCAGCTTCCCCCAAGAAGAGCTTCTGTCATTGTTTCACTACAGGTCCCTGTGGATGCTCCTGCCTCTCGCAGAGATTTGGCAGAGAGCTGCCCTGACGCCCTCTGTAGCCTGCCCAATTCCGTTCCATCCGGTCCAAACTGCAGGGCAGCAAAGGAATGAATTGCATGCCGCCTGTGCTGGATTGGGACAGTGGTGCCCCGCGTGCATGCCTTTCCTGGCCCCGTAGGCCGCGATACCTCGATGAAGAGCTCTCCTAGCCGGATCCTGTACTCGTAATGAGAGAGGAGCTTTTTATCACCACTCTCCTCGCTGTCTCACTGGGATCTCAGGGCTTTTCTCGGGCTTTTTCAGAATCCAAGCACGTCCGTTCCACTGAGAATGTGCCTGAAAAAGTAACCTTTGGTTTTCCCCTTTTGGATAATTGAAGGGGAAGCATTTTTGAGCAGTGTCGTCCCTGTCTTAGGCTCCATAAACGCGGAATGTCAGTGCGAAGCAAAGTAAAACGAAGGCATTGCTTTAATTCCTTGCGGTGGTTAAGTCTTGCAGTGGCGGTGTTGCTGTCGATCCACACTTGCAAAAATCTGCCCTATAATAAAGAAAGATGTCCTCTGAAATTTCTGGCCTGGCCCTGCCTTCCAACACACACGTGTCCATCCAGTTGAGACAGCTTCTGTTTTTCTAGTAGTCCTCAGGATTCAGAGTGAGAGACACCTTTATTTAAATAAAACCAAACCAAAGTGGTGATGCTGTATTGAGACGGCTGCTAAACACATTCAGGTGTGGAGCAAAGAAAGAATTCTTGCTCAGTCTGGCCACTGTGCTCAAACCTGGGCTTGGATGGAGAAGAACATCCAGCCCAGTACCTTAGAAGCAGTTTTTTACTTGGTGGAAGAGTCATAAAAGTTCCTGTGCAGTGACGGACAATTCGAGGTCTCCTTTAATTCTCAAGGAGGGTGTTGTGGGGTGTGGGAAGGTGGGGCTGGACGGGGGAGCCCTGTCAAGAAAGCTTCCCAGTCTTCCAGGCCCACGCCAGCCACACCTTGCTTTGTGCTGTGAAGCGCTGGGTGTGGTTTGGGAAATTGTTCTCTGCAGTCGAACCAATGACAGAAGCTGTTCTTTAGAATTTCTAGGATGGCTGTATTCTGCGATCAGAATGTGACAGTCAAGCTGGGCAGAATCCAACGCCAAGATGGAAGGTAAGGTGACGTTTATTCACTGGGAATGCTTAAGACAGCCAGCAATTGAAGGACAGCTGCTTCCATGATAGCCCTAGGAGTAATTTCTCATACCTCTGCTTGTTTTGGTAGCTGTAATCTTTCTAAAATGATGTAAACTGGTATTTTCTTCATGGCTTACTAAAACTAATGTTTTAAGATTGCAAATGTTGTCTCTTTTTCCCTTTAATATTTCTAAAACTACTTTCCCAAGTCGTTTTTTTTAAAGAGTAAGCAACATCTCTTGTTCTTCATTGGAGTCGCTGATTCTGTATGCCAAAAAAGTTACGTGCTAAACTCTTAGGGGAGAAGAGAATTCCCGTTGGTGTTGCGCGCATCTCCCCGGAGACGTCCTCCCGTACCGTGCCGTGTGAGCACACACGGGTGGCGCTTGTCCGTGTGTTGTGGTTCTGGCTCAGGAACGTAATGCAGGGGAGGGTTTTGGACCCTGCCAATGACTCGGTTGCCTTTGCTGGATTGAATGCTAGAAAGCAAGCCCAGAGTCCATTTTGCTCAGCTACAGCAAGCCCTCTGCAAAGCCCCCTGGGCGCTGAACACAGAGAATGTAAAATAAGCCGAATGGAGGAGAAGGCTGGTATAGTTTGACCTTGGAGCATGAGCTGTTGCACGGGGTCAAGAATCTGTGCACGGTTCCTTTTCCTAACGCTTTTTTAACGGTCTCTTTCGGTACACGATGGACCTCCCGCTCGCTCTTAACCAGTGTGTGTGAAAACTCACGGAGCAAGTGCTGCGCAGCAGCTAAATTCTCAGTGGTGGCATTCAGAATCGATCACCTCAGGACTTACTAGTGGTACTGCTTCATTTTTAAGCTCTCACTTGATGCTGGGCTTCGGCAGCCATTGTCTTTGCTCAATGCAGTCTGCTTTCATTTCCCATCCATTCTTATGCTGCGCAGAACTCTGATTTACAAGGCCTGTTTTAGTCAAGAGGACTTCCTTGGACTCCAAAAGCCTTCCCAGACCTCTTCCTTGGTTTCATATTTTTGCGGTTGGCAAAGGTACTTCTTGGCTCTGATTAAAGAACCCTGAGCTTCAGGATCTGTAGGCACCATTGTTGGAAAAGCCCAGCCGGGAAGGCTGTCTGTTGAGAACATGCCTGGCTTTGGAAGCCTTCCCCTCTAGCCGTTCAAGTTTCACTCGTCTTCGGACTTTGTAAACAAATATTGGTTCTGCTTTTGCCTGTACCGTTTAATTTTTGTGTGTATGTGAAGTTTAACTCAATTTTGTCTTGGAAAACAGACTGTATGTTGGATTCAGGTCTTGTATAACTTTCCTCGTGCATGGAGATTGTATGTTTTCTACAGGACCTTTCTCTCTCCTTCCCTCTCGCTCTCTCTCGCTCTCGCTCTCTCTCTCAGCCTCTCTCTCTCGCTCTCCCTCTCTCAGTCTTTCTCTCTCGCTCTCTCTCAACCTCTCTCTCTCATTTTTTATTTTGTACAGTGTTTGTGAGATGTTATTCATTTTAACATGGTGGTGCTTTAAAAAAATAAATAAAAATGACTGCTTCCCACTTATTAGTAGTTCATATCACTGATGAACGTGCGTTGTGTTACTACCTTAGACTGGGGACAGCACACGTGTTGGGAGCTTGCTCGTTTTCTCTTTCTGCAGGTGGTGTATGAAATGTGATTCCAGAGGTAAAATTGTTTTTGTCTTTCAAGGGTGGGAGGCCAGGGAGGTGAGGGCGAAGGGTTGTCTTTTTGGTTTTGGCTTTGCTTTGTTTTTAAATCGGTGGCATCACCTTACTTTTTACTCTTTTTGCTGCTTGTCCCTTTCTTTACTATTAAACTGCTGATGTTTATTTTCAGGAATGTTTTGCAAAATGTCCTTCTCACACTCTTCCCCAGTTCAACTGTAGGTACATTTGTTCCTTTTTATCAAATAAGCACGTTTGAAAAAAAAAAGAATAGAAAGGTCTTAATGTCATGTAAAGGAATAAATCTTTTTAATATGCTCAGTTTTTGCATAAGTACAGATTATTACAAAGCATATGATGTTGTTGATGATGGATTGCTGCAGCTGTCGGATTTATGTTAAGTTAGACGATGCGAAGGAGCAATCGTTTGGTGCAAGGAACAGAAAACTTCCAAATTATTTCCCCCACCCCTTCCCAGCGTGCTAAATGTAACTTACTGCTTGATTCTGGCAGTGTGTTCTGCAGAGGTTCCCATTCTCACTGACCTGAACAGTTTCTACCAATGATACAAATTTGGACTGGAAATAACACAGCTCCTTGTTTCTAACTTAACATAAAATGCGTATTGGGTTCCCCTGGCCCGTTGGGGTGCTCATGCGGCCTTGCATTTCTCCCTGTAGGCATTTGTTGTGAAACACCTCCTTGAATACACACAGGAAGCCGAGACCAACCTGCAGTACAGCCTCTTGTTAGTCTTTGGCCTCTTTATGATGGAGATTGTGCGCTCATGGTCCTTGGCCTTAACCTGGGCTTTAAATTACCGCACGGGGGTCCGACTGCGTGGAGCCATCCTTACCATGGCGTTCAAGAAAATACTCAAGTTGAAAAACATCAAGGAGAAGTCCTTGGGCGAGGCAAGTGGAGGGGCCCTGTGTCCTCGGTTGTAGGCCTTGAAGTGAAGTGCGGGTGGGCTGCAGGACCTGGACCAGTGACGGCGACCCTTGAGAGACCGAGTGCCCAAGCTGCAGCCCAAAACTCACTTGTTCATTGCAAAGTGCCAGCACTGCAGTAAAACCTGAACACTGAGGTTTTAGTTGAGAAAAAACCACTCACAGCCTGGCCAAGCTTGCTCGCTCCTTCCCTCCCTCCCTCCCTCTCTCTCTCTCTATATATATATATAATTGTATATATAATATATTATATATATATAATATATTTTATATATTTTATATATATATAATATTATATATATATATATATATATCCTTGGCAGCACACTGACCGGCCATGCGAAGGCTCGGATGAGTCAGAGCTAATGAGTCGCAGCTCGTGACGTCATCGCCTGGCGCCGCCACTCCTTTCCGAGCATGCGCATGGCCGCTGTGTGCGCTGTTATCCAGTGCTCAGCCACTGGGGCGATGCTGGGGCGACCCGGTTCGCGTGCCGACAGAGCACGCAGCACGCTGCCACAGGTTCGCCACCGCTGACCTGGACCTGTTCTGAGTAGAGGTGTGAGGGGGCTTTGCTTCACTGGTATTTTGTAAGAACCAGCCAAAGTCACATGGCTGGAACTAATACGTGACCCAGAGCACTGCCGCGTTCCAGTTATTGCGCGTCTCCAAATGTTTCTGTGTCCTTCTAGGGAAAATTGCACCTGAAATGCACGCTTTTGGAGACCCCCAGAGTGCTTTGGCTATTGGGTGGTACAGAAATCAAGAAATATACATTGTGTGTATTATAAAGGTTCTTTCTAGTTAAATGGATTTTGTTTCATTTGTTTTGGGCTGGTTTGAAAGCAAGCATGCAGAAAAGTGACCAACGACTAAGAAATGAAATAAATCTTCCAAGGTGAGCTTTATCTTTTGTTCCTGATTATCTTTTATGTACACTGTCCATTTCAGCTCATAAACGTGTGTTCCACTGATGGACAGAGAATGTTTGAAGCTGCGGCCGTGGGCAGCCTGTTGGCCGGAGGCCCTGTTGTTGCCATTCTTGGCATGGTCTACAACGTCTTCATTCTGGGACCGACGGGATTCCTGGGGTCGGCCGTCTTCATCCTCTTCTATCCAGCGATGGTGAGTAGGTGGCTGTAAGCTCAAGAACCAAAGTGCACACCAGCCATTGCATTGCTGCTGTTAGTCGCGAAGTTGTGTCCGACCCATCGCGACCCCATGGACAACACTCCTCCAGGCCTTCCTGTCCTCCACCATCCCCTGGAGTCCACCTAAACTCACACCAACTGCCTCAGTGACCCCATCCAGCCACCTCATCCTCTGCCGTCCCCTTCTTCTTTTGCCCTCAATCATTCCCAGCATCAGGCTCTTCTCCAGGGAGTCCTTCCTTCTCATTAGGTGGCCAAAGTATTTGAGTTTCATCTTCAGGATCTGGCCTTCTAAAGAGCAGTCAGGGTTGATTTCCTCTAGGACTGACCGGTTTGATCGCCTTGCGGTCCAAGGGACTCGCAGGAGTCTCCTCCAGCACCACCATTCAAAGGCCTCAATCCTTCAGCACTCAGCCTTCCTTATGGTCCAGCTTTCACAGCCATACATTGCAACTGGGAAAACCATAGCCTTGACTAGACGCACTTTTGTTGGCAGGGTGATGCCTCTGCTTTTTAGTATGCTGTCCAGATTTGCCATAGGTTTCCTCCGCAGGAGCAAGCGTCTTTTAATTTCTTGGCTGCAGTCCCCGTCTGTGGTGATCTTGGAGCCCAGAAAAATAAAATCTGTCACTACCTCCATTGCGTAGAGAACAACAGAGAAGGGTACACAGGGTGTTCAAGCAAAATAAATTGTAACATCATGTAAGTGATGCTTCCTAAGTGAGGCACAGTTGCAGTGATACCTCAGGGAGTCAGAAGGCTTTTGAAAATCAGTGAGAGCCATGAATTGTGTGGGCGGGCTGCTCAGCTAGTGCAAGGATGCCGCACCGTACAACTCTGTCCATTACACAGTCTGTTAGTTCATTTTGCGGCCGCTTCGCTGTTTCAGTGCTGGTCCACTAGTCTGACTCTGGCTGAGTAAGCCAGTTGAAACACTGCTGTCAGTCACAAGAAGTGTAAAGGACATGCAAGTCTGCTTCTTCATGGTAATGTTCCTTGTAGAATTGTAGAATAATATACTTGGAAGGCGCCTAGCAGGCCATCAGGTCCACCTGCCTGCTCAATGCAGGACTCAGTTCGCCCATCCAGATTTCAGCCGGTCCTGCCCATGCTTAGTTTCCAAGATTACACAGGATCAGGCACCCCAGGCTATATATAAGCTTGTAATGTGTTTGGTTTCTTGGTAGGCAAGACTAGAGTCCTGGGACTTGATGCTTCGAGGCTGCCTTCTTGCAGCGCTCTTTTTCTCCTGGGGGAAAGTATCCACAGTGAAGAAAATGCTAGAATGGCAGGCTGCATGCATTAAGCCACCCTGAACAACACTTCCCGGAGTTTTCCCTTTTGTTGCTTGCAAGAAGTCCCTGTTGGCCATTCACTTTCACAGTGTCTCTTTTTGTTTTAGATGTTTGCATCCCGCCTGACAGCTTATTTTAGAAGGAAATGTGTATCTGCCACTGATGAACGTGTTCAGAAGATGAATGAAGTTCTGAATTACATTAAGTTCATTAAAATGTATGCCTGGGTCAAAGCTTTTTCTCAGAATCTTCAAAGTGAGTGCCCGTTTTTAACGTGTCAGACACAATCATGTTCTTTGCCGTTGGTATAAATCGTTGATACAATTCTTCTCTGTCTTGGTTCTTCGTTGTGGCCTCTGTGCATTCACACACAGGGTCTTTGCACCTGTGGGGGCCTCTTGTAGGGAAACTGGTACAGCTAGGTGTTAATGGGGGGGGGTTCCCCTCCTCTCCCCATTCCCTGCATCTGCGGGAGGGGCTCCGTTCCACTGCCTCAAGTTCATCCGGAGAGCTCCATGAACATGCCGCAGATCTTGCGTGTTCCTGCATGTTTTCCTAGAAATCGGTGTTCTGCTCTGTGTCCCTAGAAATCAGAGAGGAGGAACGCAGGATCTTGGAGCGTGCGGGATACTTTCAGAGCATCACCGTCGGAGTGGCTCCCATTGTCGTGGTTATTGCCAGCGTGGTGACCTTCTCTGTCCACATGATCCTTGGCTATGACTTGACAGCAGCGCAGGTAACTCCTCACGCACGCAGGCTTGCCTGGCGCCCCAGGCCACCCAGCAAACCACGAAGGGTTGGTGGTCAGGGAGGCTGGCCAGACCATCAGGCATGCCGTGGCTGTCCCTCCCCTTCCTCTCAGTCCTCCGACCAGTTCTGGCAAAGATCCCAGGCACCTTTGCGGCCAGACCTCCCTCGGCTCTCCAAACAGGCCCCACCCCTGCTGTGACCGCTACCCTTTTCTACCCTCCGGCTCTTTTTTCCTCCCTTTCAATGCTGCAAGAGTCCGTAAACAAGGTCATTCTTTCATTAATGATCCCTGCCTGTTCGCAAGTGCACAGGAACAGGGTCTTGCTGTGCAGTGTCTCTGTTAGCTTCAGCAGTCTCTTGGGGCGGGAGAAGCACTAGAACGGGCCATGCATTTTTCTCCCTGTTGAATTCTCTTCCTTCAGCACTGTTTTTGATGGCTGAAATGTGCAAGGAAATTGTCAAGGCAAGGCCGCCCCTACTGAACAGGGGAATGCACTTGCAAAGGAACGGAGGGAAACAATTTTAAAAAGACGTCCTTGTTTGTGTACTCCAGAAATAACGTGTGTGTGGCACACCAGGGGCCTTCCCTCCAGAGTGCTCCTGTGCGTTGTGGAGGAGGCGTCCTGGTGAGGGAGGCCGGAGATGGAGCAGCTGGGATGGTGAAGAGCAGCACTGGCTTTTTGGTAGCTCTGTCGTCAACCCTGGGATCCCACTATAAAATTGCTTCCCAGGCTCACATAACGCAAGAACCCACCATAGCTGTGATCAACCCTACAATAAGCCGTGGGTTCTTAGGGTGGCTTGTTCACAAAAATCAAGCCATTCTTCCGAGAACCTGCCTATTTCTGGACGACCCGGCATCTCACCAGAGCTGGCTGCCCATGGTTGGCTCTTCCGTTGTGCCTTCAAGTCAGTGTTAATCTCAGACATGGGGAAGGACAGCTTGTGAGTTTGGAATCCTGTACCAATTTCTGAATCTGTCTGCCGTGCATTTGCATGTTACTTTGTTTGGCCTTGGAAGAAGGTTGTGGGGAGGCTTCCAGTTCAATGACCCGTGTGCAGTTTCATAGCTGACGTTCCTGACCTGAGGACAAATTGAGCCTGGAAGGACCACCGCGAAGCCAAGCTGTGGCTGTGGGTCATTTGCATCTCTTGCATCTCTGTGAAAGCTAGCAAGGAAAGCTGTTGCAAGCCCCTTTCCTGTGACTTCCACCCTTCCTGTTGCTTCCAGATGGCAGCTTCCGCTGTGCCTGAAAAAAGCCCAAGAGAGCATATTCTCTAATTAAGTGCAGGAAGCATTTCATTATTGCTTTACACATGTTGAAGACAAGCAGAATTTGGCTGGCAAAATTCTGATTCAGTAACATGTTGGCCTGTTCCGCTTTTCCGTATTGTTCTTGCACTGAGGGGGAATTTCATCTTCTGACATTTTCAAAATAGGCTGCAGTAAGGAGGTGTCATGAAAAACTTCATGGCCCACGATAGAACTGAATGCTAGTCCAAATTTGTGACAAGGACAGGGGCCCTCTAGGTGAGCGGTTGGAGAGGGGCCTTGTTTCCACAGGTGCTTGGGCAGGCTTGGTGGGAATTGAATTGCATTTTTTATGTTAGGCTCCTTCTGCCCTGCTGGTAATTTTGGAGCAAAATATCCTCCCCTCATATTAATATGCAGTCCCCAGGTGCGTGTTCTTACCTGAAGGACTTCTTTGCCTCCAGTTTCTAAGTACTAATTTTTGGGTTGCTGTGAGGCTGCGGTCAAAATTTACTTTTCCATCTGCATTTCAGGCCTTTACAGTGGTTACAGTGTTCAATTCAATGACCTTTGCTCTGAAAGTCACGCCTTTTTCCGTGAAGTCCCTGTCCGAGGCATCTGTTTCCGTTGATAGATTTAAGGTGAGTACGCTCCGTCTTGCTGCGCATCATTTGTCTGGGCTGAAGCGGGCTGGAAGTCATTCATGGGTGCAGAACAGAAGAGCCCCACATTACCCCACAGCTCTTCTGGCAAGAGTCTGTGGTATGGTTATTGAGGAGTGCGTGTAGGGCTGCAGCTGCCTTAGGTCTGGGCCTAAATATGAGCCCAGAAATTGGGCAGGCTGTGATGAATCACGGGGCAGTCCTGCAGAATACACGTGGCCGTGTGATTGTTCACCATTGCGCATTCCTCCGAGCTGCCAGCCTTGGACTGAGAGAATCCTTTCCACCTTGGCTTGTCTGCTGCAGAGCTCCTGTGAGTCCTTGGACAAGTTCTAGGGCAGACGTGGGCAACAAATAGTTCTCCAAATGTTTTGGACTCTGAGTCCCATAAGATCTTGATAATACGGCCAGTGGCCAGGTCTGATGGAAGTTAAAGTCCAAAAGTGCCTTTCTTCTGCCCAACCCTGTTCTAGAATGTGCAGACCATTCACACTGGGAGATGACTAAGTCTGCCGCATTCTCCCATGTGAACTGAGAGAACATTTCAGAATGTAATCAGGAGAATAATGTGCATCGCAGCCTTTCCCCTTCCATTTTCCTCTGGGTTTCCAGGTGTTTGCGGCTCCTTTTTTATAATTCCAAGACCAGCTAAGGCCCAGCTTGCTTAGCCTGGCAAGCTGTCACCAGGATACTCTGTCCAAGACCACAGGGAGTTAAAGGGATTGGATGCATATTTTGCATAATAAATGGTTTTTAGGTCTTTAAGCCCATGCCACAAGAACATGCAGAAATTCCTTAGCTATATGAAGGAAGACTTTATTTTAGAAAGCAAAAGAATATTTACAAATATACAGGATGGTAAAAGAGAAAATTAGGTAGAAGAGGGAAGGGGGACTGTGGCATTAGCTGCTGGGTAATGGACTCCTAGCTTGCTCATTTGCCTTGCAATTCCCATAATTTATGCACTGGGAGCCAGTACATGTAGGACCCTTTTGCTTGGAAATGCTGGTTTTAAACAACTGTAAACAGTTCAGCTTTTGATTTCATTGTGTAATGATATGCCAAACTTCGCAGAACCTTCTAAGAATGTTGTTGAACAGATGGATGTGGTGGAAGAAAGACAGAGGCTGTTTTTCGATTTGTGTTGCGCTGTGATAAATGTTCAAATGCAGTTTGAAATTTGGTTTTCTCCGCACACCGGCTGAGAAGCACTTCCCTCCTCTCAAGCCTGCAGTGCTTTTAGGGAACAAACAAGCCAACGTCCCTCTGCTTTTTAATTTTCTTGCCATGTCATCTCCAAGCCCTGAAAATACAAGACACTGAATGTAATCCTGCTTGGTGTCTGGGGCGGGTATTTCAAGTCTGGCAATTCCACAGAAGTCTCTGTCTGAAAACCACCACATCCATGGATGCCCAGGCCCTTTTGTGGACCTGGAGTTAGTTTTCACTAATGAGCTACCTTTTGCTCTTCAGCTTCCTCCCACTGTATGCCCTGATGTGTTATGCTGCGTGAGTGTGCCGTAGGCTTGTCCCCCGCTCAGTCTTGACCAGGTGTCTCATCTTTGCACCTCTCTCACAACTCCTATCAGAGTTTGTTTCTAATGGAAGAGGTTCATATGGTAAAGAAAAAACCAGCCAGTCCTCACACAGCCATAGAGGTGAAAAATGCCACCTTGGCATGGGAACCCTCCCATGCTAGTGTCCAGAGCTCGCCCAAGATGACCCCTAAAATGAAAAAAGGCAAGATAAGCAAGAACAAGAAGGAGAAGAGGAAGCTGCAGCAGCATGAAGGACAACGGGCGATGCTCGCTGAGCAGAAGGGCCACCTCTTAGTGGACAGTGATGACCCCCCAAGCCCAGAGGAGGGGAATAGACACCTCCACCTGATGAACACCCGGCTGCAGAGGGTTCTGTACAATATTGACCTGGAAATCGAGAAGGTGAGGAAGCAAAACTCTCTCTCCTTTGGATCAGGACTGGCCTAAAATGCTGGGACACAGCGCTTCGCTGTGAAGTTACTCGAGGGGTCTCTCGGCACGTGGTGCAGCGGGTGTGACTTCCGCAGAGCTGCGCCATGCGAGGCATGGAACTTTTGGAAAGACGTGCATGTCAGGCACGCGGTGGACACATGCCAGAGAATGATGGCCCACTGTGACCCTCCCGCAGGGTCCGTGTGAGGAGTCCTCCATGGCGCCCCTTCACAGGGTCGTGGTGGTCCCTCTGGGCACCCACTCGTGCTGTGTGTGACCAGAGAAGGGCTGGCGCCGCCCCTTTGTTTCACGGAGTCTCTCAGACTGCCTCCTGTGCACACTTTTCCGAACAAGCCCAGCACATTCGGTGGGAACTTGCAAAGGATTGTGCTATGAGCGTGCGCCTGTTTTCTTTTTCTAGAATTTTTGCAAGGGTAAGTCAAGAGAACGTGGAGAACTGACTCTCAGGGCAGCTAGCCTGGCCCTAAACGTACTTACTCTGAAGGCCAACTTTCAGCTTGGGTGGTGGGAATCTTTGTCCTCCACGTTGTAAAATCTGGCCGTGTCTATTGGTCCTTTCTTCAGCTTCAAGCACCTGTTCAGGAGTTGAGCACCTGAACCTAGCTTTATCTCCTAGCATAACAGACTGATTTCTTCTGCAGTAATATTCCTTTTTATGGTTTAAACTAGGGGAAACTTGTTGGAATATGTGGCAGTGTCGGGAGTGGGAAGACTTCACTCATTTCGGCCATTTTAGGACAGGTGAGAGATCTTTCCCTCCCGCGCAATCCACCCTGCCGGCTTTGTTCGCCTCGGTCCTCTTGTGAGCCACAGTGTCCGTCTTTTCTGCCGGCTGCTGCATTTTGCCTCGTTCGCCTTTAGCCCGCACGAGGAACGATGCATCCGAGCTCAGGCGCGGGTCCTCAGCTGCAGCGGCGCGAGGCATGTCCGCATGCTGCGTTCCAGGGGGGTGGTCGCTTTTGCATGGCCGAAAGGAGCAGGAGGGGGTCACGCAAGGTGACAGAGACGGACGGACGGACGGGGGACTTCCTCCTGCAAGTGTGGAGTGTCACCCGTTGCTTCTCATTCCAGGTGACTCTCCTAGAGGGCAGCATTTCTGTGGACGGAACATTTGCCTACGTGGCCCAGCAGGCCTGGATTCTGAATGCCACTCTTCGAGACAACATCCTGTTTGGGAAAGAATTGGAGGAAGAAAGGTGTGCAGGTTCAGTTACGCGCCCACTGCTTGCTAATGATCTTTCCTTCGACTGGGATTAATTGGCTCGCCAGTCTTAGTGCCAGATGGGCGTTCGGTGAACCCCCGCTCTTAATTTGGTAACGATCTTGCAGTGTGAACAGCAGGTTCTGTCTGTCATTTCCCCGTGAACTCAATATTTGCTATTCCAGCCCTTCGCCAGTGTGTTAATCAAGAGGACACTTCATTTATCAGGTGTAACCTTGTGACATAGTAAAATTGTCTGTCTTTAAAGTGCAACAAAACTCTCTGTTGTTTTTAAGACAGCCTTTTCCTGTGTTGCTTTTGCGCACGTCACAGGTCTGTGGCCATCTTGGCTCACTGGGTTGTCTGTTCCAAAGAGAGCGATTTCCTTTCCAGGCTGTCCTCAGGTCGTGTGCCCCTTTTGTACAGTTTTCCTTTGAGTCCATGCATGGCCCTGATGGACGATACTGACCCCGTCTGCATGTGTCAAACCCGGTTTAGCAACACATGTATGAACTCTGCAAGCTTATGTGGTCCCCTTTCTCTGAGAGGCTTAGCTGGAAGGAGGTCTTAACCAAGATTAGGTTTCACTTCCCTAGAATCCTGACTCCTCTCACATGATCCCAAGAAACATGGCTTAAAACAAGCAAGTCAGTCGTGTACAGAGCTATAAAATAAAACTTGAATTGGTGACAAACCAGGGTGTCTTAAGCCATAATTCCCTGCTTGTACATAAAGACAAAGCAAGACTCGTGGAAGGCGGAACTGCATGTGATCAGAGTCCTTCGGCCACACATGGAGCGTGTGGTGGGGAATCACATGCCTTCGCCTCACTCAGGTGCTAAGCGACTCGTGCACAGAACTAAGTTTTCATTTAGTGCTGCATATGAACCAGCCCAGCATGTACCATGCAGGAGATGCTGCTGCTTGTGTGAATCCACTTTCAGCTGCCCGTCACCTTGGTGTCTGCTGGACATGTAAATGCTCCACAAGCATTTGGAGGGTCGAGCTGATCTTAAGGGCTCGCGGTCCCTTCTGAGACACAGCCAAAGACTTCACTGGTCACGTTTACTGAAAGCGATTCCCCTTCGCCGTGGACGTGGGAAAATGCTTGTGGAGGAAGTGATACTTTACGTACCTTATGCTTGGAAATGGTGCTGCTGACCATCACCTTACCGCAAAAAGACACGAACCCGCTTTTCCCGCCCGCAGGTACAACACGGTGCTGAACGACTGTTGCCTCAGGCCGGATCTGGCGATCCTGCCGAATGGAGACTTGACCGAGGTGAGAGTCCTATGTCCTTGCCCAGCAAACTGCAGGGTGGGGGGCTCCTTGGGAAGGGAAGGGTCACGCCATGCTGGGGAGTGGGGAGCCGCTGCTTGCTTAGATACCGTTCCGGTATTTTGGGAGGGAGGACGGACAGGATACATGCACAGCAAACAGGTAAGGTCCCCCGTCTTCTCTTCAGTGATCCCAGATCGCTACCTCCAAGAGGGCGTTAAGGATGCACCTTCTCCAGTAGGCCTCCCCAGATCAGGTTTACTTAAATGTGCTTGTTCTCAATTGAAATGTTAACTAGGGCTGGTTTTAATCTCTCATAAACTGCCCAGAAGCGATGGAAATGGGGTGGTACATAAACATCAAAATTAAATGAATAAAATAAAGGCCATTTGAACTTAGATTGGTGAGCGAGGGGCAAACCTGAGTGGGGGGCAGCGCCAGAGGATCAGCCTGGCCCGCGCGTTGTACAGCGACAAGAGCATCTACATCCTGGACGACCCTCTCAGTGCCTTGGATGCACACGTGGGCAACCACATCTTCAACAGTGCTATACGGAAGCACCTGAAGTCGAAAACCATCCTCTTCATCACGCACCAGCTACAGGTAAGGACTGGCTCCCTTCTCCTTCCCCCCCAGTCTTTAGATATTTTGTGGGTGGAGGGTGGGGGGGGGATGACCCGTTCCGTTGTTAAAGTAGCATCTAATTTGGACAGCCCAAACTGCCAATTGCTCTGTAGAGTGAAAAATAAGAGGTGCTCTTGCTCAGATAGGTTTCCAGCTTAAGCGTGACATAGAGGGGAAAGCAGCCAAGTCCTGCGTGAAGGATATCCCAAGAATATAAGTAACTGAGGTTGCAGGTTCACTAGACCTGGAAAATTTACAGGAAAACGAAACAGAAATGGCAAGGGCAAGAGTAAAGGTTCCTCCATAGGAAGTGAGGCTGTAGCAGCAGGGTCATTTTAGCCTAGAAGCATCTGATGCTTTATGAAACGCGGACACTGCGAAGTTCCAGAAATTGCCATCAAAGGGCAAGAATACGGAGCTGTTCCATGAAGCCGATCAGGCAGTTTCAGGCTGGATCGATGGACGTCTGCCTTTCGTGCTGAGAAGAAGGAAGGCTGCGTTTAGTCTCACGTGACGGCAAGCGTTCCTCTCCCTTCCTTGCCCTTCAGTATCTTGTCGATTGCGATGAAGTGATCTTCATGAAAGAAGGCTGCATCACCGAAAGGGGGAACCACGAGGATCTGATGAACCTGAACGGCGACTATGCCACAATTTTTAACAACCTGCAGCTGGGAGAAACTCCACACATTGAGGTAAGTATCTCTACCGACTATTTCTGAGCTGCTAGTCTTCATAGTGAGCTGCAACCAAGGCTGTTGACAGAGTACGAGCAAAACCCCAGACAGATAATTCTGGGCTGAATGTCCCCTTTTGTCTCCCTTGATTCTATAGTGCACTAGAAAAAAGCTGATTTTGGCTCTGAGTCTCGTCTCAGGCTCCTTTTGGCTTGGGTCTGGGGTCCACCCGGGTTTGCCCTGAATTACCTTATTGCATTTTAAGAAGGTCATATAAAAGAGGATGATTAAAAACCATCCACAGAACAGCAGTGCAGCCCATAAACTGGCCATGGGGCACATCTGGCTGGAGGACCCCCCGTCTGGCCAGGGCAGCTCCCAGGTGGGAATTCCTTTGTACCTTTTGCCTTGATGTGCTGGAATTAAGTCCTGGACCTGAGCAAGGGTGGGGGTGCCAGGGAAGGGTGAGTGTGTGAAAATGCGGGGTGGCTGCACGCTGGCAGTGGCCTCACCCTCTGCTGCCATGCAGTTCTCCGCTCTTGCACTTGGCCTGGTCTTCCCAAGGGCCAAACAGCCTGGAGGACTGCGAACGCTTCCGAGCCTCTGGCTCTCCCACTAGAAACCTATTTCCGCATGAGTATCAGCAGCCCAAAAGCCTGGCTGTCGCTGGCGTGGAAGAGAGATGCTGCTTGTGCAGCAGTCATGCAGGGGGAGTGTTTTCCTGGAACACGCCCCATGCCCTGCACCGCATGACCAGCTGTCTTCGATGTGTGGAAGGGCCCCTGCTTGCGTGACTGCCCTGGTGCATCAGTGTACATGGCTTGTGCACCCTGCAAAGTCCATATGTGCCCTCCTGGCTGCTGACGGGGACTGGGCATTATTCTCCCATAACCCAGTCCTCTACCAGCTTCACTGGCTTCCCATCGAAATCCGGGCTCAATTCAAGGTGCTGGTTATCACCTACAAAGCCCTTAACGGCTTGGGACCTGGATACCTGAAGGAACGCCTTCTTCCGTATTTGCCCTCCCGCCCCCTGAGATTGGCAGCAGATGCCCTTCTCCGGGAACCCTCCGCAAATGATATTAGGAGGGTGAGTACCCAGAGGAGGGCCTTCTCTGCGGTGGCACCCCACCTATGGAATGCGCTCCCCAGAGAGGTCCGCCTGGCGCTGTCGTTATTTGCTTTTTGGCGCCAGGCTAAGACCTTTTTATTTAAAACTTATTTTAATTGTTAAATTATTTGAATGAAAAGGAATTTAAATTTTTAGCCGAGAATGCACCGGGGGTTTTTAAACAATTTTTTTAAATTGTTATATTGTTGTTATTTATGTATTTATGGATCCTTTGTGAGCCGCCCCGAGGCTTTGTTGCGATGGGGCGGCATAGAAATGTTTTAAATAAATAAATACTAAATAAATAAAGGCAGGGTGTGCTTGCCAGGGATTCAGACTCTGAACCTCCGCAGAGCAGAGCAGAGAGGTCAGGGAGGGAGCCCAGGCAATCCAACGGATTCCTCGCACATCCCTACCCGTCTCCCTGCCCCTTGCACCAAAATGGTTCCCCAGTCGTGATTTGAACAAGCAGCACATCATCTTGCGCATACAGATGAAAACCTAGGCGAGACTGTAGGGGTTCTGCAGAACTTCTCCTTCCATTGCATCATTTTCCTCTTGCGAGGAACCCAGAGTGGCTTATGCAGACCTCCTCCACTTTATTTTACCTTCCCAGCTACAACCCTGTGAGGCGGGTTCAGCTTAGAGTGAGCGACTGGCCCAGAGTTACCCACTGAGCGTCATGGGCTGGAACCCAGTTCTCCCAGTCCAGAGCGCTCACCACCTGCCACACTGGCTCTCAGTGCAGGGAAGTGTTTCACTAAATACCCTCAAGTAGGATGTTCCATTTCTCATCCGCTTTCCCTGTTCGAGCGTTCTGGGATTTGCCATAGCAAATGCCATGTGCTTATAAACTGCCTATAGAATCGGTGATGGGAATCAAATATGCCTTCTTTTTACTTGTTCCGGGGGGATGAGGGAGAGCTTGCACTGAAGACTGTCCCTTTAAAATTTTAGTGGGAATTTCACCCCTCTTGAGAACATTTGCAGGGCTTTTAGATGGGATGTAAATTTAAATAGGGTTCTAACCAAACCTGCCTTACTTCTCCTCCCTTTTACAGATCAGTTTAAAGAAGACTACAAACAGTTCGTTGAAAAGGCACCCGGAGAAAGGCACCAAATCTGGATCTGTGAAGAAGGAGAAAGTGGTCAAGAAGGAAGAAGGTACATTTTGTCACCAAGACATACATAGAAACACAGAAACAGGGCGAGTCAGAAGGGGTCTCCGGGGCCATCTAGTCTGACCCCGTCTTCAGCCGGCTTCACTCACGACATGCCCACCATGTGCATGTCCAGCCTATCCTTGACACCCGCACCGATGGGGCCTCAACCACCTCCCGGGGAAGCCCATTCCACACCCTTGGGGTCCAGACTGCCAGGAAGTGCTTCCTGGCATCCAAATGGAACCTGGGTTCCCTGAGCTTTGCTCCATTGGAGCGCATCCTGCCTTCCTCTGCAGGGGAGAACAGGTCTCTACCCACCTCCATGTGACATCCCCTCACATACCTGTATATCCTACCACAGACATACAGTGTTACCTTGGCTCACGAACTTAATCCGTTCCAGGACTCTGTTTGTGACCCAAATGGGTCGTGACCCAAGTTAAATTTCCCCATAAGGTTCAATGTAAGGTTAATTCATTCTGTGACCATTTTTTTACTCAGAAAACTGTATTGCAAAGTGACAACAACAAAGATCGTGGCCACCCCCCCCCCCCCCCCGCCCCAGCGCGGCCCCCCCCCCGGCCCCCTGGCACGATTGCATCCCTCATCCCTGCACACGCCCATCATCCTGGCATGCTGTGTGGGGAGAGGCGGGCGCGATCGTGAGCACGCTGGTGGCGGGGAGACGGGCACAATTGTGCTCGGGGGGAGATGGCCAAGATCGCAGTTGCGCTCCGGCGGGAAAGACAGGCGCGGGAAAGACGGGTGCCATCTCCCCCCCGCCCCCAGCACGATCGCGGCCATCTCCCCACTTGGGGTGGGGAGGGGAGATGGCTGCGATCGCGGTCGCCACCCAATGTGGAGTTCGCAACCTGTGTCAAAATACTTATGAAATTCTTGTTTGCGACCCGATTTGGTCGTGACCCGAGGCGTCCGTGAGCCGAGGTACCACTGTATATGCAAACCTCCATTGGCCTAAAAAGCTCTGGCTGACAGTGGCATCATGCGTGCGCTCATTCTGTCCTTACGCAGCATATTCCAGGCAGTCGATGACATTACTGACCTCTTGGATCAGGTGCTGCCCGCTCATCCCGCCCTTGTTTGCATCCGTCGGCGTTTTAGGGCCATGCCTGCCCAAGAAGCATCGGCAGCACATTCACGCCGAGGAATTTTTTTGTGAACTGGCAGTGGGGGCCTTGAAGAAGCCTGGAATGGCCTCAGGCATGGCTCAGTTTGGTGTTTGTGTGGAGAAGCTTTCGCGGACCCTCATTCCAGCCATTTAGGGATCTTTATTTGTTTCTTTCGAAAACACGCTTGCTGCCCATCAGCGTAGGAAGGGAGCCTCGAGCCGCAGACCGGCCTGCCCCCTCGGGCCGCTGGCCGCCCGTCCGACTCACCCCTTGTCTTTCCTCTCTGCAAATGTGTGCCCTGCAGGCCAGCTCATGCAAGTCGAGGAGAAGGGCAAAGGCTGCGTCCCGTGGTCCGTCTACGGCGTCTACATCCGCGCGGCTGGAGGCCCCGTGGCTTTCCTCGTCATCATGGCACTGTTTGTGCTGAACGTGGGCAGCACTGCGTTCAGCAACTGGTGGCTGAGCTACTGGATCAAGCAAGGCAGCGGGGTAAGAGCGCGTCTGAGTGGCTCGTGGGTTAAGATTCTGTCCTTATCGGGACAACTGAGGGAAGCCACTTCCCTAATTAATGGAGTGGAAGATGCTGTTCTCAGGGGCACGTCCTAAGCAAAACCTGCAGAAAACAGCCCGGGCAAGTTTTAATCCTCGCGTGGAGACTAAAGTCCTCTGCAGGCGTTGGCCTGCTCATGCGCGGTTCCTTTCCATGCTTGCTTTCCTTGACTGAGTTGTTCGCTCCAGGAAGCAGGGGCTAAGTGTGTGAATCGCACATGCATTGCCGCAGCGGGTCCGGCCCCGCTTTGCGCCGAGGGACAGAGTTGCAGCAAATTTGCCTTTTCCGTCGAATTCCCACCTTGTTCTTTCCCCCAGTTTGGAGAGCTGTCAGGGCATGAGGTCTGGCACGAGCAAAACAAAACACTGCAGATGACTTGGACTGGGCATGGCATCCCACGGAAGCGCTGTTTTCAGCTGGGGCAGGAGAAGAAGACTTTGAAAGACTTTATCAAAGGGAGGCTTCGACATGCACTAGTGAGGAACCGCTTGCGAGTCCGGCGAGCAAAGTCCGCCCCCTGGTGGTGGCAGCCTGGGGGACCGAGCCAGTGCCGAAGCAGCAGTGTCCCTCAGGAGCAGAGTGACTGCCTCCATAGAGCCAGAGGGTCTTTTGGGGCCCAGGAGGTACCCCTTGATGCACCAGGGAGCTGCGGACAGGTGCTGCTCCACCTTGTCTCAGATGGACAGAAGTTCTCTCACCGAGGCACCTGTGCAAGGCACGCTGGCATTTTAAGGCAACTGCTAAGGATCTCTGCTCGGTTTTGGTGGCCTCCTGAGGCCCAGAGGTCATCTGACTGCTGCGTGAGATGTTCACCTTTGAGCCTCCCCCCATCCTCACCTTTGCTACTTTTTGCGGTGGAAAAAGATGTTCCCGGTGCTGCGATGCAGCTCTCCTCCTGCAGCAGCAGCTGGGCTGCTCCAGTAGAGTATCTGCCACTCATGCAGACTGGCCTCTTCAGAATTGCACCCTCTGGGAAGGAGAACCTTCAGCTCCCAGACGGATCATCATCTCGAGTAGGCCTTCCCTGATCTCCAGATGGAGGCTGCCTGCTGTAATCAGGAGTATCTGCCATCTTGGAAGCTGACCCAAAACCCAGCTGGATGGTCCATACTCCCCACCACCCACATGATTCAGCTTGCAGGCACAGTATATTCTTGGTTCCCAGAATTGGTGCACTGATGCTGGTTTGTTGTTTGTTTAATTAGAATATTTGCATTTTCTGAGGCAGGAGAGCCTCTTGTGGGAATAGTCTGACCTGAGAACTTTGCTCCACTGCAGGAGTGGATTCCCTTGTTTTAGAACAGAGACAAAATTCAATTTTGGAGACACTGCAGGGGGCTGCCTTCCAGTCATGGGTAGCCTGAAGGCAAAGCAACCAAGTTGGTGTCCTTGTTACATGCCGTTGTTTCCTCTCTCCAAAACATCCTGCCCTTGACAGCCCTGCTCAGCGGTCGGGAATGCGACATGCAGCAAGGCCAGTGCAAAAGGGCTCAGTCACCGTTGCATTTTGAAATTCATCTCGACTTCAGCGGCTCCGTGATGGTAAAGGAAGAGCCTCTGCTATCTCAGAATGTCAGGACCTTTTGTACCATCTGGGCTGAATGTCCTGCCAGGATCCCTTCTCCGTGTTTGCCGTGACTCCAAACCTGCAGACGTCACAGGCCCCTGCAGACGTGATTCTCTGAGTCACGAATTCCACTGGCCTTGCATCTGGACAGCTGGGCTTTGCCTGCCGGAAGGTGAAGAATTGACAAAGTTAAACCTTCTGGACTTCCACTGTTTTCTGGGGACACCATCCAGTCCCTGGAGGAGGGTCTCTCAGCTTGGCCACAGACCTCAGAAGGAACACGACTTAGGAGCTGTCCCAGCTGCATGAGTTTCTGGAACACCAGTTCCTAGACTGGGAAACACTCACCTTCCAGTGTTAGAGCCCCCTTTGTATCCATAGTTCTCGTCTGTGTTCTCTGGCAGATTAATCTGGTAGTTCTTCTCCTGGAGTTGGTCCCATTACCAGCCATCTACCCTCTTTTCCTTGCTCCTCTTAGCTCATTTATATCACACCCCAGAAGGAATATTTTTTGTTAGTGTCCTGGGCCCCAGGGAGACCCCACGCTTATGCATGTGCCTTATTTACAGCTATTCTGTCATTAGGTGTTACAGTCCTTACATAGGCTGGTAGTGGTAGAATTTATCACAGACTTTTTGATGCCTTGTCACACCCCGAAACTGGGAAGAGAGGATGGCTTATCCAAACCTGTTTTGCATAAAACCATGTTTATTGGTGCAAGATAGAAGAATAAAACTTTTAGGGGTTCCCCTTATCCTCTGTAGAAAGGGACTTGGGGAAAATCCAACATTCTAAAAGTAAACCATAGTTATAAAGGTATCTTCCGATGTTGGTAGGTACTTGTGTGTAGAGGGCTGATAGATTTATTCTGGCCACAAATAAATACTGGATTTAGTGGAGTAGATTGTTGAATGCCAAGAGCCACAAATAAATAACACTAGCGTGCTGCTCTTAAAGAAAAGTAAAACGAAAGGCAGAAGCAGCCGTTTAACAACTTTCACAGGTGTATCCTGGTAAACAAGGAGGGGGTGAGGACTAAAAACAGGTTAGCAGAGGAGTCTTTTAGTAGGTAGGGGTGGCAAGATACTGGTTTCTGGGGTTTGAAGAAGCAGAGTCAGCTTTACGACTGACGTGGGTTCTGTAAACCTTCCTTAAAACAAGTCAAGCCGCTTGTTCGGCACTCGCAGTTTTCAGCTCAGACTGGCAGTGGCTCTCTGGGCTTCTGTGACCCTTTAACTGGCCAGGAAAGGGCTCTGGGGCCTCGTGTCCCCGATGCTCGGGCCCCATCATTGAGTTGTGGCCCCTTTGGCATGGGGAACGGTGCTGCCCTGGCCCTCGACAAGCGCAGTGAGAGCCAGCCCCGCTTTGCAATGCTGGGAAGAGTCCCTGCGAGCACAGCTTCTGCCTGTCAAGGCACGGCAGACGTTCGGCCTTCATCGAGAGCTTTCCAGTGTTCAGAGCACGTTGCCTTCATGACCTTGCTCTAGTGTTGTAACCCGATAAGATAGGTCAGTATGATTATATCCGTCTGAACCTGCACATCGGGAAGATGAGCAAGCGGTGCTTTGTTGGGAGAAAGGGCCAGTACTGATTCTGACAGTGTCCAAAATGAGTGTGAGGGATTTTGTAATTAAACTGTTTATAGGAAAGCTTTCAACTAGGTTAGGTGATGAAGATGTAGCACTTGCCAGTATTTAGAAGAAGCCAAGGAAACAGACAGTGATTTACAGATCTGTAAGTCTAAATCTCCTCCAAAAGGGAGGTATTTTCCAAAGTTCTGTCAGTAGGAAGTTGGTCTCTTAATCAGGCCGGAAGGATTAAACACAAACTTGAGAAAAACTTTTGATTTGGTGGTGTAACTAATCGCTCATAAAAGTGCATAGATTTAACTGAATTTTTCCGGGTTTTTAGAAAGCCTTCTGACAATTCCACCCCCAGGGTTGTTTCAGCGTGGAAACCAAGTTTCTGTTGAACTACAAGTCTGAGAAGGATCGCATCCTTTCTGGGCTTCTATAAGGAATCTCCACCCTGGCCCCTTTTTGGATGGGCATGCAGAATAATATTCAGACAAAATTAAGAACCAAGTGCAGGTGGCACAGTGGTTTAAACAGCTGTGCTGCTGGGCTGGTTGATCGAAAGGTTGCCGGTTCGAATCTGCACAACGGAGTGAGTTCCCGTTGCTCTGTCCCAGCTCCCGCCAACCTTGCAGTTCGAAAGCATGCAAATGCAAGTAGATGAACAGGTACCACTTTGGTGGGCAGGTAACAGCGTTCCGTGCACTTCGGTGTTTAGTCATGCCGGCCACATGACCACGGAGACTGTCTGTGGACAAACGCTGGCTCCCTGGGCTAGGAAACGGACATGAGCACCACCCCCTAGAGTCAGGCATGACTGGATTTAACATCAAGGGGAAACCTTTACCTTTTACTGGTTGGAGAAGGCTCAGCTGATGTGAAGCAGGGCACACCCATTCGTTGTTTCCATCTTAGTCATGTGCCTGTTGTGTTTTCAAACCAGAATACTACGCGGATGTTGGGAAACGAAACAGTTGTGAGCAACAGCATGAGAGACAATCCTGACATGCGGTACTATGCCGGCATCTACGCACTCTCCATGGGTGTCATGCTAATTCTGAAGGCTGTGCGTGGCATTGTCTTTGTCAAGGTATGTATGTATGTGTGAAATCGGGGAGGGGGGCTTCTGCTTCTATGAACTCCAGTGGCCTGCTTTACTCTGAAGAACATCCTTTGCTTCCTTGTTCCTCCTGTTTTAGTTCTGGAGTCCTCCTAAATATAAACTGAAAGGCTTTCTGGGACTATTTCCTTGCTGTACCTGTTGGAGCCTTGACTTCTTGCACTGCAAGGGAAGGGGCTCCTTCCTTCCAGCTGGCGGGGAAGCTTGCGGTCTTTGGTGACGCTCCGTTCACAAGTATCCCTCCCTGATTCCAGCAATCTTCTTTTGCCGTCACTGCAGGGGACGTTGCGGGCCTCCTCCAGGCTCCACGATGAGCTCTTCCGACGGATTCTTCGTAGCCCTATGAGTTTTTTTGACACTACGCCTACGGGGCGGATCCTCAATCGGTTTTCCAAAGATATGGATGAAGGTAATTGCTCTCCTGCTTGTGCTACCACGTAGCTCTGCAAAGGTTAATAACCTGGAAATGCACAGCACCATGCAGGAAAAAAGCAGGTGGGGGACTGAATGTTTGCACGTTTCCTGTGTCACAGCACTTGGGAGAGAAGAGAATGTGCTATATGTGCATTAGCACATGCCAGGGAAGGTGCTGATCGTCCCCGTCTGACTTGCAAACTTACAATGCCTAGGATTTAAAATAAAATTGGCAAACCTTCAAGCAGAGTAACCAAGATCAGTGCTGAAAATAAACCAACGACACCTGTGATTTAATTGTGAGCGTTCCAGGAAGAATGTCCTGCCTGGCTTTGCAGCCTGTGGAATGGCTTTTGATGTTGATGGATCTTATGAAAACACTCAGAAGCATTTGTGTAAGATGGGTGCTCCCTGCTAGTAAGTTTTGATACCAAGAGATGGGCTCTCAAGTCCTGTTTTGGCACGACAGTGTTAGCATGTGAATCATTTTGGAGCACAAGACAGCTTGACAAGGTCTGGTTTAAGTTGTCCCAAAATGATCTGGAGCCAAGGAGGGAGCTGCAGGAGCTCAGATGTGGCAATAACACAAACCGAGTCACTCACATAATGACCTGTAGACTACAAAGAGTGTCTAAGCCCTGCATGAATATACTCTGGGATGTCGAACTTGGTTAGGAATGACCAGGGAAGAGCCCTGATAGTCCAACAGCAGTGCCAGCATCGTGCAAAACTGCGCTTGAAAAGCTGCATGTAGGTTGCTTAGCTGTGCGATGCCAGAGATGCTGGAAATGGCAGCAGGGAGAGGAGGACTATCTGGGGACTGAAGAGGGGTCTAAGACATTGCAAATGTTGCTGAAAGTGTGAAGAGGCATTCTATCCAAACTGTCACCAGAAGATTTTGGATAGTTCTTTATGCAGCCTATAATTAGTTAAAGGGATTCACTGCCTAAAGCAGCTGCTTGCACAGATAGCTTTTTTTAGGGTTAGACAAATTCACAGAGAGAGAAGTCTGACAGTTCTTCTTAGCTCCAGTAGTTAAGAATGGGACCACCCAGTATGGGGGCTCCATGTAGCTTTGCCTACAAGATGCACGGAACAAGCTGTTTGCTGTCCCTTGTGCATTTCTCAAAGGCATCTGGCTGGCCCCAGTTGGAAGTAGAATAAATATGCCATAAATATGACCATGGTGGTGCATTCCATCAGCAGATCGAGCCAACTGCCTGTTGTAGCCAAGCCTTCCAGGTGGGCTTCTTTGGCTGGAACTGCAGCCAAATGGAATAATTTGGGACAAATACATGTTCACTTTTTATTGCATGTAAGTTAACAGCTTGTCCAAATACATGTAGCTGCTCGCTATGAAAAGCAGCACGATTTCAAGTCATGGACGTGCACATGGTGGGCGTGTCATGAGCGGAGCCGGGGGTCAGACTAGACGGCCCAGGAGGCCCATTCTGACTCGCCCTGTTTCTATGTTTCAAGTGAAGCTCTAGGCAGAATGTGATGAGAGCAGCAGCTTAGTGGAAAAATCGGCTGTTTGGCCTAGCACTTTCCAGCAGGGCAGATGACAGCAAAGCCCCAGAAGAAGGAGGGGTCGAAATAGATCTTGGCAGGGTTGGCCGAATGTAGTGATGCATTTTTAACTGCCGAGCAGGTGGGAGCTACATATTTGCCAGGGAGTATAACAAGTCCCCGTGTATAACCTTGCCCAGTGTGGTCAGAACTTTTGTGCGTGGCCTCCAGCTGACGGTTGCCCTCTCTGTCCACCTCTTCCAGTTGATGTCCGCCTGCCGTTTCAAGCTGAGATGTTCATACAGAATGTCATCCTGGTATTCTTCTGCGTGGGGGTGATCTCTGGCGTCTTCCCGTGGTTCCTAATGGCAGTGGGGCCTCTTGTCATTCTTTTTACCATCCTGCACGTTGTATCCAGGTAAACACTGTTCATTGTTCCAGGACTCCATAATTAGGCTTCCCAGGCAGATGAGGGGAATAGCCTGCGATCCCAGGTCTCTCACTCCCAGTTGCTGCTTCCTTGTCTGCAGAGTCTTCATTCGGGAGCTGAAGCGCCTGGACAACATCACGCAGTCTCCGTTCCTTTCTCACATCACGTCGAGCATACAAGGCCTCTCCACGATCCATGCCTACAATAAAGGCAAAGAGTTCCTGCATAGGTCAGTGCCCCGTTTCTCTTTCCAAGCAACTGCCTTTGCACCTTGCTGGACTTTAGCTTCTGGCAGCTAAAACGTGGCAGGAGCCACACTATATGATCAAATTCTGGAAGGGGCTGGATTTCCTGTCTCTCTTCTCCAGGTATCAAGAACTGCTGGACGACAATCAGGCGCCGTTCTACCTGTTCAGCTGCGCCATGCGGTGGCTGGCGGTCAGGCTGGACATTGTCAGCATCGCGCTCATCGCCACCACCGGCCTCATGATTGTCTTGATGCACGGCCAGATCTCCCCGGCGTACGCGGGCCTGGCCATTTCCTATGCTGTTCAGGTGAGGCCTGGCTGTGTTGCTCAGAACACATTTGAATTTTGGAACCTGTCTTACAAGTCGGAACGGTGTGGTGCTTCTTCATGGGTTCTGCATCACACACACGGGCTCTGCGTGTGCACGGAACCTTGACTGGGAATCTTCTGCCCAGGAGGAGTATTCCCAGTGGGAACGCTGCCCCACTGTCCCGTTCCGTGTGCCCCTACTGGGTTCCTGGCCGTTCCCTCAGTTCTCTCTCCATCACTGTTGCGGGCGCCCTCGGAGGAAGCCTTTCCACCTTGTTCACTTCTTCATGATGGAAAACTAGAACTTGCTAAGGTTTCCTTTACTTGTCTGTCTGTGCATCCGTCTGTGTGCCTTTCTAGTGATTTTATTGTTTTTCGTGTTTACTGCTCATGATCTTGGTCCTCACCTGAGATCATCCAGCCTTTGGCCTTCATTTGGCAAGTGCACCGTTCGGCAGTAAATGCCCTCCAGTGAACAAGTGTTTGCTCTGTTCCCGTAGTTTAAGAGACGGGCACAACCAGTCAGTGCCCTCTAACTTCACCTCGGCCCTCATGAAGCAGGCAGAGCATAATGATCCACCAGCCCTTCAGCCCCTCTTTGGCCTTCAGTGCCATCCAGCCTGCACTGGGTTGTCAGAGACACTCAAGTGCAAATCTGTCAGTGGCTCCGGGACTGAAACTTCCATCAGAAGTGCGGCAAAGTCCCATCAGCCACCCCTGTGGCTACTCATCCTGATCTGCCCACATCCAGCCAGTAGCTGAGCGATGCTGCGGCCAAATAGCTGACCACAGAGCAAGAGCCCGTAAGTCACAGCAGAGCTGGAGGAGGAGAAAAAGTCTTTGCTCCAGTCTTCTGCAGCCCTGCCTTCCCCCCTGGGGGCGTCGGTGGCAGAGAAGACCTGCGCCTCTGCTGTTGCTTGGTAGCGCCAGTGGCAGGGCATCTCGGAGCAATGCAGGTGCGTGGAGGCAGCGGTGCAGGTGAGGCCGCTCGGGCCTCCCATCCCGAATTCTGCGAATGTGGCAGAACTGAAGGAAGATCCTGGCAGACGAGTCCTCGTCTGTAGAGAAAAGTGGCATTGCATTTGTTCCTCTGCTGTGTTGGGGTGGAGCACGGATAGCCAGCCACCCGGCGGCATCCTCTCAATATCAGCTTTCCTATGGGAGAAGACAAGAACGACTTTGACCATCGAACCAGGACTTGGCTCCAGTCTTTCAGGAGGAGCTGATGCGCCTCTCTGGCCAGAAGGCAAAAATGCCAGGCCCATGGCTGGTGCGATGCAGTCTTCATGCTATGATTGGCTTAGTAGCCCTGCTTAAGGCGTCGCTTAAAGTTGTAGACCTATCACAAGCATCCACTCCAGACTCCAGAACCCGCCGTTCCATGGGATCGGTTGGTTTAGTGCCACCTCAAGTGAGGCCGTGCACGTGGCCGAAAGGCTGCCGGGTGGCTGCCTGCTCACTTGGACCAGTCACTAGAGGTCGGGCATCCCGGCTGGAGCTGCCGGTTGCCTTGGATCTCTGGAGCCAAGGATGTGGGCCTCACCTCTGAAGGGCCTGCTGGCGACTTCCCCATACGTGTGGTGCATTTCTGCCATAGCAGGGAGTGTGGGCAGAAATACGCCACTGCAAAGAAAAGGAAACATCAGTTTGGAAGGGAAACCTTGGGGAGTCCCTAGGCAATATGCCATTGCTGCGAAGGGAAGTCAGAAGCCAACAGTTACAGCCTGTTTAGCTGGTGAATTACATTGGGTGCCCTTGATTTTGTGCTTAAGCTCACGGCGTTTCGCTCTGCAGATGAACTTGGATCCATTAATGGGGCCTTATGAGCCACAGGAATGCTGATGCTTGAATTTTCGCATCTCCTGCATGCCTTGCAGCTTGGTACCATTTCATCGCCTAAAAAAGGTGGTTGTTGGGCTGATTTCGGAAGAGCCCTCCTTTAACATGTTTACCAGGTGGGCGGCATATTGGACAGCAGCAGGGCAGGGTGTGAATCTTGAAAACGAGTGCACCACCTGCATCTCGCAACAGTGGACGAACTGCCGTTTGTTTCATCCTCAGCTGACAGGGTTGTTCCAGTTCACCGTCAGGCTGGCCTCAGAGACCGAAGCCCGCTTCACCTCTGTGGAAAGGATCAACCACTACATCAAGGTACTTGTGCGTTACTTTTACTCTTCTCAGGTGACCTGTCTCTTCTGAAGAAGCACCTCCGGTTTTTAAGGGCACAATCCTACGAAATGTTAGGAAAAGGCCTACGATTCTTTGGCACCTGCTATCGAAACTTCTGCAGGATTGCACCCTTAATTGTGTCGCAGTAGTGACCTAATCTGACCTTGCGAAGCATGCCTGAAATTAAGCATCATCATGTACATCCGGAGGAGGACAATTTGCATGAAATATCATTATTTTGGCCGCGTCAACACAAGGCCAGTCACGTTAGCAATTGGACGTCAGAAATTATACCTGCGGGGAGCGGTGTGTGTGTCTGTCCGCACACGTCCATGTGCGCTCTTTAAGAAGAACCCCGGAGGGCTCTTCCTGGTTGTGGAGAGGAGAGCCTTTTCCGCTGATTCCCGATTCATCCCATCCTCTTTTGGCGACTCCTTGAGCGGAGGGCTGGACATGGGCACTTTTGTCGGTTAGCATTTAGCAGCATGGCCCAGGGAAAGGCATCGCCAAAGGTCCTCTCTGTTCTCTCAACATACGGATGAGTTTGAGCGACCCCGGAGCCCCATGAGGAAAGTGGAGCCCAGCTCGGGCTAGGGCCTTCGCCTCATGACCAGGAAGAGCCCTTTCTGCATCGTGGGGGACAATTCTGCAATCAAGGGATATGCAGAAGCAGAGCTCTTTCTCCCCAGGCAGCAGCCGTAGCAATCACTCGTCTGCTGAGAAGAAGGCATCAGCCCTGCAAGGCCTGGCAGGGCCTATGGGAGAGCGCTGGGCATCCAGGGACTCTGCAGGCCCTGGCTGAGGTGCCACTAAGGCCCCCATCGCTGACGGCGCTTGCATGTCTTTTGGGACTGGAAGGCTGACCCTCTCCGGCCCTTCCACCCCATTCTCCACGTGGATCTAGAAGCCCCTTTCCCCGAAGGATGGGCCTGGCGTGGAATGAGCTGGCAGTCTCCTTCCTGTGCCCCTTTTCCCATGGAGGGGGCACAAGAAGGAGAGCCCAAACTCCTGGGGTCTGTAGATGCAGGTGGATTCAGCCTGGGGCAAACATGCTTCACAACCCATCGAGCTAATCCAGTATTAGTCTTCTGAGTCTTCTGAAAGGGCAGTTGCCCAGAGAGTAGCTGGAGCAGGACCAAAGTACAAGAGGGCTCCAGAAGCCTGCGCAACGCTTGCCCCCGGACGGCATGCGTAGTTCCACAGGGTGCCGTCTCCCTGTGGCTAAAGACCTGGGGGAAGGAGTGGCTTTCGGAACTTGGAAAGGGATGGTGGGGTGGATAAATGCTGCGTTAGTCAGCAGAGTCTCTCTCAGGCACGGCAGAGACTCGATGGTGCCAGGGACTGGGAACCTGCTGCTTTCTTCCAGAGGAAAGCAGGCAGAGTGATCCAAACTAGCACGCCCCTATTTGAGAACGATTGCTCTGCTGCAGGGATGGGGAACATGGTTCTTCCAGGTGCTGGAGGACCACACCTTCCATCTTCTCCCACCATTGGCCAGGCTGGCTGGTGTGACCAGACATACAAATGCCGAGGTCCTGCTGGATCCGTCTTTGCCGCACGCGCAGGTCTCTGCTCAGCAGGATTCCCTTTAGAGGAAAATTAGCAGGATCTCTGTTGAGCTCAAGGATCCAGAGCTGAGGCCTGACTCTTCCTTCTCTCTTCTCCTTCCCCCCCCCACAAAAAAAACCTCCCCAAGTCCCTTTCTCTGGAAGCTCCAGCTCGGATTAAGAACAAAGCGCCCCCTCCAGACTGGCCCCAGGAAGGAGAAGTCATCTTCGAAAATGCGGAAATGCGGTATCGGGAGAACCTGCCCCTGGTCCTCAAGAAGGTCTGCTTCACCATCAAGCCCAAAGAAAAGATTGGCATTGTGGGCAGGACGGGGTCAGGTGAGGACACGCGTGACGGGCCCAGCCGTTCGGGAAGGGAGCAGCCTGGCCGTGTTTGTGGGCGCACCCTCCGCATCGACCGAAGCCGCCCAGGGTCCCTGGGAGGGAGGGAGGGAGGGAGGGAGGGAGGCCGCGCTTCGGCCGTGAGGGCCACTCCGCCGTAGCACCTGTCCCCGCTTCGTGCCGGAACGGCCCGCAGACACGGCAGCCGTGAATTCACGTGCTCTGTGGTGGGTGCCAGCCCAGCCGACGCACCTGCCCTCCTTGTTACTGCCAATAATGCGGTTCCTGCAGAAAACATGCTTGTTGCGATACTCTTGGCTTCACACGGCGGCCTCTGCGAGCCGCAAAACCTGCCTTGGGTCTAGACTTGGGCTCTTGCCTTGGGAATGAGGGTCTGCCCTGGCACTTCCTTTTAGCAAAAAGGCCAGGCGGAATGGGGCCCCTGTTCTTTGAGCGGAGTCCTGGGTCCGCGGGGTCTAGCGCCACTTTCCTGGACTCGGTTTTATAGCTGTGCCAGCTTCTTTCAGTGGCCCCCATCATTCCACTGAGCGCCTTCCCTCCCAGAACGGCGTTCCTTAGCTGCCATAGAACTGGCTGTGCTTGTGTTCGTCTCCTCTCCATCCGCATCTCCTGCTTGTATCATGTCCCCTGTATAATGAAGAACCACTTGGCTAAAGTTTCTGAACTAGTGTGTGGTGGTGGAAAACCTAGAACTAAACCTTGCAAATGCATTTAAAGATACTTTGTCGACATGCCGGCCAGCAGTGGGGTGAAATTGTTCACTGTATGCCCGGCCTGGATCAACCCTGCATGCTTCTCAGAACACCAGCTATCCCTTGTTCTCGTTGCCTGTTTCAGGGAAGTCTTCTCTAGGAATGGCTCTCTTCCGCTTGGTCGAGCTCTCCGGAGGCTGCATTAAAATCGACGGCGTGAAAATCAATGACATTGGCTTAGCAGATCTGCGGAGCAAGCTTTCCATAATTCCCCAGGAACCTGTACTGTTCAGTGGTACTGTGAGGTTAGTATAACCCTTTGCCAAAGCTGTGGGAAGGGGCGGGCTCCTTCTCCAACACCCTTTCCAGAGGCATTGAGTCAGCCACGGGTAAGTGACATTTGGTTGCGCTAAGACGTGTCATGTTGAGTTAAGAATGCAGTTTGCTACACCCTTTCTGCCTACTTATTCATGCCATCTTGCATTTTACGTAAGGCAAAAAGTAACAGAATTAAGGACTAGAAAGTTGCTTAAGCATTTGTATGTTCTATGGTCAAGGGTGGCCACTGCGGTTCCCCAAACACGAGAGCAGAGGTGAGGCAGGTGGGGCCCGCCAGATGTTGCCTGCAGCGCTCAGCAGCTGGTGGTGAGGGATGGTTGGACCTGTAGTCGTACAGCGTCAGCCAGATGTTTCCACCTCTCTACATGAGGGGCTTATTTTGGGGGCTGGCTTTGTTTTTCATTAACTCTCTTGAAGTAAGATGATTTGATTTTACCGGTTTCTGAAGCTGGTAGTGCAGATTGCAGAGTCACCAAATCTTGTTTGCTTAGCTTGGTTTGGTTCCTTTGCTTAGCTTGCTTAGAATACCTTTCCTTTAAATAGCTTATTTTAAAATCATATGTTACACTGCAGGACTGCCCAGTGACCAGGTTTTCTGGGCACTGTACAGATAAATTAAGAGTAAGATATGCAGTCCCTGTAAAATTTTTGGTTTTGATCATTTGATTTGTTGTTCTATCGATTGTTGATGGTTTGCTTTTAATCAAGTAAGCCATCCAGAGACACGATAGTGAAGGGCAGCATACAAATGCTTTAAATAAATAAATAAAATGCATGTTTTAAAAAATGTTTTAAATAAATAAATAAAAATAAATAATAAAATAGCATAACTTCAGAATATCATTTGTTCCTGGCTGCCTTGAGTGAAATTTTGGCTTTCGCGGTATAACATTCCTGGGGGCACTTACCTGTCTGTAATTTGATAGACAATTTCTCTTTCACTTTTCTCTCTTTTAGATCTAATTTGGATCCTTTCACACAGTACAGTGAAGAGCAAATTTGGGATGCTTTGGAAAGGACTCACATGAAGGACTGTGTAAGTCTGGGAACGGGTTGAGAGCAAGGGGAGATCACTGGAAGAAAGGAGCAATTCTCCCTCATCTCCTCCTGCTCCCTTTTCTTTTTCAATAATCCAGTGGGAACGTTATGTGAAACTGTCTGGCTTGAAGTTAAGCCCATTTCTTAGGCGGCAGGATTAACGAGGCTCACAGAGACGGCTGGGTGAGGCTGACGCAGGGCTCACAATAATAGATCTGGATTAAAGCTGCTAAGATGCACACGGATTATAAATTGCTCTGTGATTACTGCAAATCTTTATGCCTCAGGGGAATTAGGATGTCAGATACGGTAATAATTTTAAGATACTATCACCCTGTTAGAAAATGGCCTTATATTGTATGCCACTCTTTGCACCCCTGGAAAAGAAGGACCCAGGCATTTATAAATACAGAGCCACGGCAGATGAATTCATGGCCGCACTCTTGCTTTGGGTAGAGCTGGAACAACTGGGGCACCTTTTTGTCCCGAGGGCCGGATTCCACTTTGGAGATGCTCTGGAGGGCGGCATCCCACTTGGGATGTGATGAAAAACTCCTCCTTCCCGCTTGCATTGCTACGACTTTCTAGTAGGAGGCATGTCTACTCGGAAGCAAGCAGGAAAGACACGCTCAATAGCGTGTCTCCTAGGATGAGCATCATGTCTACTTAAAAGTAAGGAAGGCAAACCTCTGTGTAATAACTCAGAAGCCAGCAGGCCTGAATCACTGCACAGCAGCACAATGCGAGGGAAAGGCTCTTAGGTTGATCGCCTGCTGATTGCAAAGGAGTTTTCCCTTTGTGGCATTGGAGGCGGGGCCAGGAAGAGCTGCCGGTCCGGATGGAGAACCCGCCTTCGCCCCACAGAGATTCCCTGTCTGAGGGGTGGATTCTTCCTGGTGTTGCCACGCTGAGTGTGTGTCCCGTATTGTAGGTTTTGGAAACGTGGTGGCGGAAAATGCCCAGTTCTGTATCGGATGGACCCCTGCTGTGCTGCTCTCATTGGCTGAGGCTTATTTGGGCAGCTGTGAAGCACCGGACGCTCCCCTCATGCCTGCGACCCCCCGCAAACACGGCAGTGATGCAGCCACTGCAGGCGTAGAAGATTAATCCGTCTCCTTTCTCCTGCTTGCTTCTAGGTCTCTCAGCTGCCCATGAAACTTGAATCCGAAGTGATGGAAAATGGGGAGAACTTCTCTGTGGGGGAGAGGCAGTTGCTCTGTATAGCTCGAGCTTTGCTCCGCCGTTGCAAGGTGAGCGGAGGCAAGCGGAAGAGGCTCCCGTGTATGTTGCCCATTGCTGCTTTTCGAAGAGCAGCCCGTCCTGAAGCCGGAGTTCAAGGAGCAGCGGCCATCCCTTCTTTTGTTGGAGGTTGTCTTGGTTCAGAGGCCATGTGCCGGCCTCAGCTTCTGGGCAGACTGGAAGCCAGTTTCTTCTCGTTTTCTCAGTACTGATTTACCCAGTCACCTTTTAACCTGGGAATTGCTGCATTTCGAGCAACGGGATATACAGCCCCTGCTCTTTTCCTATGGCACAGGGCAGGTGTGCATCCCCTGCTGGCCAGATTTGGTAGTAGAAAAAAAGGCCCTTTATTCCAAAAACCAAAGCAGGTTTGATGCTTTTAACATTGCAGAGTGCCGGATGGCTTAGACCGCAAAGCCGCATTCAACCAGTTCAGTGCTCTGCATTAAAGCTACATCATCATCATCATCATCATCATCATCATCATCATCATTATTATTATTACATTTCTATGCCGCCCCTTGCCGAAGCCTCGGGGCGGCTTACAACACAATAAAATACATTGAAATACAATAGCACATAAATAGCACATTTAGAGTGGCTTCCGTCCGGATCTGAGAGAGCAGGGAATTACGGCTTGCCACGTACGGCGTGGGGAGGGCTCTAGGGTAATGCAAGGCCGTCTTGAGGCTTAAGTGCCACAGGACTGGCTGGGCAGGACTCATTTTGAGGACTGCTGAAAAAACCAAAGTGAATGTCTTCGTGAGCATATTCGGCTGTTCAGAGAAATGGAAAAAGAGAGCTTTGCTTCTTGGTGGGTTGCACCCACACTGAAATTCACCGAGGACCCTGGCCATCCTAGACTGCCTCCAGGATGCTAATCACAAAGTGAAAACAGTTAATCACTGCAGCCCGGATTTGGATGCAGACCGCAGCGCTCGCCTGTCCCAAGAGACCGCTCCTGGTGCAGGCAGCTCTGGGGGACTATCAGCTGACGAAACCATTAACAGAAGCCTCCGAGGACTCCCTTGTACGTCATTTGGTAGCCAGAATAGTTGGAAAAGCTTCTCCTTAAAACCTGCCAGAAATAACAAGCACAGAGAGAGGCCCAGGAGGGAAACCTTCAGCTTTCCTTAGCGTGATTGTCTTCCCCAGGGAGTCTTCACACTGCAGAAGGACAGTTTTCGTCTCATCCTGTCTGCTTCTAGCGCTAGAGTTAAGGTTCATCCAAAGAAATTGCCTGGTTCATGGAATGAATTACCACTGTCCTTCAGACTGATGGGTTCTCGAGTGAATTTGGGCTGGTTGGTTAACTATTTCGAGAGTCATGCGCCAAATGAGAAATGCCCTGAGGGTTCCCTCTTTTGCCGCTCTTCCCTGAGTGGAGGCAACAGTGCTTTGAGATTGGAGCGGTTTCCTCTTTGACTGGCCAGTTTGGGCTACCCCATGAGTCGGTGGTTGACCACAGCGTTGTCCTGTGATATAGGAAGTCATTTGTATTTATCTGCCATTACTGAGAAGGACTTTAAATTTTGTTACAGAGGAAAGGTGGCCAGACGTCAGGGTTGATGGGTCCACTTTGTTTTTTACTAGAACCCCACGATCCATCAGTCGGAACCTTGTGCAAACTGGTGGCTCAGTGGCCTTTGTACACCTGCATTAAGCACCAGGGTGCCTCTGAATGCATACTGAGCCCAAGAATTTGTTTTTATTGCCAGAATGGGGCTTACTGTACCGTCACACACAGAATCACTCCTGGTTTCTCCTTGCAAACACTGGAAATTCTGCTGAAGTCCTTCCCAGTCTTTGCGCACTGTTTTTGTGTTCCGTATGAAAGCTGAGATCTCAGGACGGTGCTGATGCTGTGGCATTTTTGCATGGCACTGCGGATTGCACAGAGTTCCCTCTGATTACGGTCCTCCCTGCCAGATTTTCTCGTGTTAGGTAGCAATCTCAAATCTGGATGTTGTTACAGAACCTAATGTAATTGATGCTTAAGTCTCAGGCCCCTGTGGCTTATGGTGGGCATGTCGTGCGCGGAGCCGGCTGGAGCCGGGGGTCAGACTAGATGGCCCAGGAGGCTCCTTCTGACTCGCTCTGTTTCTGTGTTTTGTGAGCACTGAAATTGTCCCATAAGCAGAGCACAGGGACCAGCCGTCGGCAGTGAGGGCAAGTTTTAAGGGTTCCAGGCCTACATCATCTAACTCATGTTGCCTTAAAGTCGCCAGCACCCCGGGAGCATAGAGAGAAGCGTGTGCTTTCAGTGTTTTAACCAAGTCCATGTTGCACTCTCCAGATATTGATCCTGGATGAAGCAACTGCTGCCATGGACACAGAGACTGACCTGCTGATCCAAGAGACGATCAGAGAAGCATTTGCAGACTGCACGATGCTGACGATCGCCCACCGCTTGCACACCGTTCTGGGCTCTGATCGGATTATGGTGCTGACGCAGGGGCAGGTGAGCGATAAATGGGTGCCGTTCCTTTGTGATGCTCACGGGCCAGGTGTCCTGTTCGCCTGTGGCTGAGGGCTGGCTGAGTCAGGAAGCAGGACATCCCTGGGGACACGGTCGGTTGGGGAGGACCAGCAAGGACCAGGGTGACAGCGAGCAGGGTCCAGGCAGGGAGGGTGGCCAGTGCGCAGTCCCAGCAGGTATTGCCGCGAGAGTCGGTCTAAGGGGGAGGTAGGCAAGGCCCCACGGGCAGCCGGGTTCAGGCGGGGAGGCCCGTCACAGGTCCGTCCAGGGGTTTTCGTGGGAGGTTCGGTCCCATGGAGAGCTGGAGCAACAAGGCAGGCTTTTGTCCTACAACCCTTCCATCACCGCCCTGCAGCAGATAAGCAGGCTGCCAGAACAGACCCGTTCGAGATGAGCTCCTGCTCCGTCTCCACATCCGCTGCTTCCATACTGCTCAAGGGCTCTGGTCTGCCTGGAGAGTCTCCTCTTTCCAGAGGGCTTGGAGGAGGGGGTGGGTCTCTCCCTTTCTGGCCTTCAGGCAGACTCCCCGCTGCTCCTGGGGAAACAAGTCCTGGTGCGGGTCTGCGCCCCTCCAGGCACTGCGACTGCAGCAAATCCTGCGATGCGACAACTTCCAGGGGCATGGGTCTTCCTCTGAGGAGGAGACATCCAGCAGGGACGTTGCAAACGTTGTTTTCAGACTGTGTTGCAATGGGCCCCGCCAGAAGCTGCAACCATTCTGCAGTCCTCGTGTGATGAACACGACAGATTCCCAGACAGAAGTGGTCTTTAGGAGGAGACAGAACCTGCAAGTTGAAAAACAGTCATGAAGCAGCTGTCTCAAAAAGCACCAATGAATGCTTTTAGGAGAATCTGAACATATTCGCGGCAAGGCTGCTTTTAACTTCGGAAAAGCAAGCAAGCAGGCAAGGGGCTTGGTCTAGGAGATGGTTTTCCTTGCTTTCAGCTTTGATTCTATGGGCAAACCTGGTTGATTGCCAGAGGGTGATCAGAGGGCTGGTCCACAAGGCATGCCAAGTACCTGCGGCTGTTATGTTGAATGCGCAGGTGATCAGGGTTGTGGGTTAAACATGACTTGCCTATAACCATCCTACTAATCAACAGCTACACAAGGGTTGTGGAACACCTGAATGACTCAAGGCCTCTGTGTTCACACATGGCACAAGCCCTGGTTGCCCGTTTTGGATTTCATCTTCCAAAGAGCGACCACACCTGTGTGCGCAGACCGGGTCAAGGAGGAAAGATACGGCAGTGCTTGTTCCATGGATCACTAACTGGCTTCACTTTATTTCTCTCCAGGTAGTGGAATTCGATACTCCGTCTGCTCTTCTGTCCAATGAGAACTCCCGTTTTTTTGCCATGTTTGCAGCTGCAGAAAATAAGGTTGCTGTTAAGGGCTAAACTTCAGGGCAGTGTCACTTTGACCCAGAGGGCGAAGCTCTCTGTCTGTGGCAGGTACCTCTTCCTCCGTCTCCGCATTCTTCAAGCAGATCATTGCCTTTTGCATCTTTTTCTGTAGCATCGTGTGTCAAGATTGAGCTCTTCTTTTAAAAGTACTGTAAGGAGGATTCTTTATGATTTTTATTATGGTATTTATTCCATATTCTTCTTACTAATTTTTGCTATAAAATGCACTCTACAAAGTGGCTCAGGGAGCCATGATGATAAATGTATCAAGAGGCCTATTTTGAAGCTTTATACATGTAGCTATATCTATACAGAATTCTGTACATAGCCTATATTTACAGTGGAAATGTACGCTGTTTATTTTATATTAAAATGAGCGCTGCGTTAATACCAGTGCATATTCTTTTCTATCATTTTTGTACAGTTTTATGGTACTGGGAAACCGGCTTTTGCCAGGCTGCATCGGGGCCCCGTTTTGTCTCTCGCAGCCGGTTTTCTCTTGGTGCTGGATTTTCCGAGGTCTCTGGATAGAAGTGACGCTTCGCAGTCGTTCTCTGTTCTCGCTGCCCCGCAGAAAGTGAGCTCTCGTGATGCGCCTCCGTCGTATCACAACCATAGAGCGCTTTGGCACATAGTTAAGGCACACGGAAGCAGCCGTTTCCCAGGCTTCTGTCCCCCGGCGGGGTCTAGGTTTCCCCCTCCCTTTTTGTGATTTTATAAATAAACTCTGTCATAGCAGTAGGGGGAAGAACCAAACATTGCCTCAGGTACCTTAACACCCCATTGATACTCATTCCAGTGCAATAAAAGGAATGTGATTACATTCTCTATTAGTAGAGTTCTGCTTATATTTTATAGAGAGGAAGTGCAGACCCCTCTGCTTTGCTGAGCAAACCTTCCTGCCCAGAAGAAACAAGATTCTTAATAAACTGCAGCAGTGGGTTTTCTAGACTGGCGCTGCCTGCACAATCTCTCAGCGTGGCCTCCGCTGCATCATTACTTCGGCATTTCCGGCAATTAATCCTTCGCCCTGCTCAATATGTGTGCATATTTGTCTCTAAAACAGTTGTGGTTCCCTTCTGCAGTTTCTAGCAGGCTCCTGCTGATCAGGGTTTGACACTGGTGTAGGAAATTTTATTTTCTTACTGTAAAGAGACCTACCTCAGGTTGCTGGGTCCTGTGTGGCACATGGGCATGGTGCCTGTATGCTGTCCCTCTTGTATGCCCAGTAGCCCAGTAGCCCAGGTGGGCATGGTCAATCCTGTAATAGTGCATAATTTTTACTTGGTCAGCATTGCATGGTTGGGGGGTTTTCTTTCTTGCGGTTTGTTTGTCCAGTTGGACACTTTATAGCCTTAGCATGTTTGGAAATGGTCTGGTCAAGACGAACATCCAAGAAAGTGAATAAAAACTATTTTGGGTTTTGTAAACTCTTGAGTGTATTCTGTTCTTTGAACATGGTTGATGTCTTCCCCATGGTACGGACATGCCGTGATACGGAGGTATCGACGGGATGCCCTGATCCCAGCTTCATGAAGAAATGCGTATTAAGCTAATGTGTCCCTTTAAAAGCACCGAGTCGTACCCAGGCGCAGTGCAGCCAAAGTTCCAGAAGCCACGTTCCCTCTGCATCACACCAGAGACAGTGTGGCACAGTGGTTAGAGTGCTGTGCTCGGACCTGGGCGCGGGTCACCACAAAGCTCACGGAGGGACCTTGCATCAGACAGCATGTCTCAGGCGATCCGTCTCAGAGGGCCGTTACGAATGTGAGGAGGCGGAGGGGGAGAGGAGAGAATTAAGAATTGAGCACCTTAGGAAAGATGAGCTACAGATGCTGTTGCGAACGCCGTCAGGCCTGTGCTGGGTGGACTCCTGCATGCTGCAACGGGAGGAAGGAAGTTGCTCCTCTGCTTCTGCAGAAATCGTCGTCTGAAGAAATTGGACCAGGAAGGAGGGTAGCTAGCTCCTAGATTTGGTGTTGTGTTCATGCCAGCAGCCTTACCTGCTTAACAGTGCAGCTGGGAGAGGGAGTCATCCCAGGAGGGGGTACCAGCAGGATCCTCTACTTAGAAGCAAGTCCCATTGCCTTCAGTAAGTGGCACAGGATGACCTGTGACCTCTTGCCTCTATTCCCTGCCTCCTCCCTGCCTTCCCTATATTTGTTTTATATTGCATGCCCCGTAGGGGTAGGGATGTGTCAAACCCATTTTTGTAAAGATGGCACTATATAAATAATACCAGGATTTTAGTAGAATTCCTCATAATGGATTAGATGGGCAGCTTCTTGAGAAGTAAGATGAAGTGTGTAGGAGATAACACAATAACAGGTTTATGAAAACCTTGGGAAAGTTTAGTGCTTTGTTAAGTCTGTCATTCCTTGAGGAACACTGAAGTCATGGGCCTTTGATCTGTCTGAACGGGAATAGGATTGTGCCTCGAGTGTTTATCGGCCCACATCAGTCCAGGTGTGTATTTTGCACCTAGATCAAGTGCAAAAATTCAAGTTTTAAAGTTGAAAGAAAAAACAAATTGGATCCTGCAAGCCGGTCTCTAGAGAACTGACAGATATATTTTGATCTCTCCTCTACGTAAATATAGAACGTTCTGAAATAAACCAGATTTTATTACCGATTTGAAAGAATATCCATGCCAAAATGGACAACCAGCTTGCACCCTCACAACTCTGGGGGTATGATTTAATTGTAGACAAAGGGGAATTGGGAGGTTTTGGGAAAGTGGCCCTAAAATGATGGCTTAATGCTATGAAATGCTAGCAAAATTACTGTCTGGAAGGGTGGGAGGGGAAAGGGCCGCTCTCTCTGTTGCAGGCGGCCAGGAAATACTGAAGTGTTCCCTTGGACGTCCTCAGCAATATCCAGGAGGTAAGACTAGCTTTGGGTCTTAAAGATGCTTTTGTTCACCAGGTAAACAGGGAAGGAGCTGAGTGTGTGGTACCTGTGATACGCCCCCAGACAACTTTCCTTGATGCCCACCAAGACCATCCTGCTCCTCCCAGTTTTTATCCAAAAATATATCCCGAGTGGCAGCTGGAATGGCTTGGTGGTGACCGGGGAGGCTGGCTTTCGTTCGTGCAGCTTGTTTGCCCTGTGACTGGCCAGCCACACCCTCTCGCGGCAGCCGGGAGAGTCTGGCAAAATTCAGATACACCCATGGGCTGCAGCGGTTGCCCACCCTTGATCCAGTGAAATCTTTCTTCATGTGATCGTGGCAGCTAAGATGCAGAACACTAATTGCTGCAAGACTGTAAGAATTCCAAAACCTAGAAAATGATGCCATGTTTAATTCTGGGACTGAGCAATATCGAGCAAACTCACCTGGACAATATGGATGTAACAGCCACTTGGGAATACTGATTTTTAGTGTGAGCAGCAGTGTTCACGTTCCACTTGGATATGTGCACAGGAATGCTGGCTGAGGGGCTATGGTCCTTTGTTGGGGGCTAGTTTCGGTGTTGTGCTTCACCTAAATGGGGAAAGAGCTACTTCTAAAGTCGCGAAAGGTCGCTCAAGCTGTCGTTCACATCCGAACTGCACGGGCGCTGGATGTGGGGGTGATGTGGCTGCAACTCCTGGCAGCCCACTGATCACTTGGGTTGATTTGGCTGTCTGCACAGACACTCATGCACAGACTTTTCACAGGCGTGTGTGGCGTGGGGGGATTGGTCTCTGTTCTCCCCTGCAGAGGAAGGCAGGATGCGCTCCAACGGTGCAAAGCTCAGGGAACCCAGGTTCCATCTGGATGCCAGGAAGCACTTCCTGACAGTCAGGACCCCGAGGGTGTGGAATGGGCTTCCACGGGAGGTGGCTGAGGCCCCATCGGTGCGGGTGTTCAAGGATAGGCTGGACGTCCACATGGTGGGCATGTTGTGAGTGGAGCCGGCTGGTGCCGGAGGTCAGACTAGATGGCCCGGGAGACCCCTTCTGACTCACTCTGTTTCTGTGTCTCTCAACTCCCCACCACTCTCTGCTAATAATCTTCTGGAGATGATGAACCCAAAGTGAGAGCTGAGGAACCCCACACAAAGCTTCTCCTTAGACCTACCTGCACAGAAGAACAGAACATACAGGGGGACAGGAGGATGCTCTGGAAAAGGAGGCAAGGAAGGCAACTAGCCAAAAGGTTGCCTCGAAATATGCTAAAAGTTGGTCCAATATAATCGCACTTTGATTTGTGGATGCGTCACACATCAGGTTTCCTGCTTGACCAAGTGTCCCCTGTACTCAGAGATGACAGCACTGAAGACAATGCGCACTCTGGAACGCATCAAAAAGGAAGCAGAGACATCGCTGGTCCCACTGCGTCGCGTATGGACCCTGGCTTTGGATTCGTCCATTGCTATGTATGGCGAACATCTCTGTTAGCAAAAGAAGCCAAAAGCAGCTCAGGAAAATAGAAATGGTCTTGGATACCTGCTTGAGTGGAGGGGATCTTGCTGGAGAAGGATCGCAAGGAATAGCCTGGCAAACCAGCTGAATTCATTCTAGAGCTCAGCTGAAATCCACACATGTGCGGGACAAGAACAAAGAGCTGGTACACCAAAGCAAGGACTGTTACAGTCTGCAGAACAAAGAGTACAAAGAACTTGGTGGCTTTGCAGTTGTACTCAGGACAGGGCAGAACAAAAAACAATAACGGGGTGGTTTGGGAAACCATTCTCAGCACCTGCCAGGCTCCCTACTTCTCCTGATTTTGATTTTAATTAAGATGTGGCTAGTGACACTTCGTAGTTGCAGGCTGGCGTGCTGCAAAGTGGAGTCGTGTACATCAACTCTTCAGCGAGTCACTTGTTGTTTTAGTCTTACCAGTTTGTGTTCTGGAAAATGAGTGTTTTGTGACCAGGTGTGCCCACCCTGGCAGCCATTTTGTGAAAGTGCCCACAAGGCTCTCAACATTCCAAATGTGCCCACCCTGACCCAGACAGGTTGGGGATTCTTGCTTGCAGAGGGGTCTCTACCCGCTCCACCATGGCTGAATACTGCAAGGGCTGTCCTGCGGAACAGCTGTTCCCAAATTCCGTGGAACCCTAGGGTTCTGCAAAAGCCTCGTAGGGATTCCACGAAAAATCTCAAAAATCAAATTAAAAACCGATTTTAAAATGAAACCACATGAGGTGAACTATTCGATTGTCAGTTGGCGTTCACACAGCAAACAAGGAAACGGATCACATCATTTGGTTCCTCGGACTCTTGTGTAGTGTTGGAAATAATCAAAAGAATTCATTTGGGATATTACCATATAATTGCTTTATTCGTTACATTTAAAATGTTTTCTCTTTATTTCCAAACCTACTATGTTATGCGAAGCACTCAGGCAATGGGAGCAGATGAAAGAAGGAAGAACGTTGTGGGTTTGCAATGCTTAGTAAAAATCAGGGACAGATTTAGGGAGCTGCTGGAAAAAGGGTTCCATGACCAAAAAGATGTTTAACCAGCCAGTATTTGAATCAGTGTGCTTCTTGGAGCTCCTTATGCTATCTAAACCTGCCACACCTGTATTATTATTATTATTATTATTAAGAATAATAATATAACATTATTGATAATAAAATTATTATTAATATCAATAATAATAATTTCAATACCATCTTATAGGTGGGGATGCTTCCTGATCACCTCCATAACCACCTCTCCTAACCCAAAGCTTGCAAAGGTACCCTTGTAAGCGAGCTGTCTTTGCAGTCAGGTGGGCATTTGTTCTGTTCGTCGTCCCTCCCTAATCAGGGAAGAAAAGAGAGATGCATAAATGACTTCCCCATTTGTGAACTTCAGAGGATGAGGTGAGAGCATCATGAGTCAAGATTACCGTGGGTGCCATCAAATGCCCGCCATATATACCCACCCGCCCCTTGAGATCAGCGGGAGAGGCCCTTCTCCGGGAACCCTCTGTGAAGGAAATTAGGAGGGTAAGTACCCAGAGGAGGGCCTTCTCTGCGGTAGCGCCCCATCTATGGAATGCGCTCCCCAGAGAGGTCTGCCTGGCACCATCGTTATTTGTTTTTCGGCCCCAGGCAAAGACCTTTTTATTCAAACATTATTTTAATTGTTAATATTATTTATTCTTTGGCCAGGGCGACTTAATTTATATTGTTTTATAGGATTCTATTTATTTATGGTTGTGAGCCGCCCTGAGGCTTCGGCGAATGGGGCGGCATAGAAGTTCCCTAAATAAATAAATAAATAAATGCAAGTTTGGACAGGAAAAAGGGCTACAGTGCCTGCCTTTCCCAAATAGTCCTAGGTCGCTGGCAGCCCTGTCCTGGGATGTGCTCAGTCCTTGCAGGGAGAAAAACCCCACGCCTGGCCCCTGGCAGAGCAGTGCTGGTACTGGAAAGAGCTCAGGTTCAAGCCTGGTGGGGGACACCCTAAATTTGCCTGCACTGATTTATAGAGTTTTAGAGTCTATAAAGGGCCGTGTCTTTCCAATTTGTGAAAGGACCAAGGGAGGCGTTGGATTGCAGAGAGAAGTCTCAGGATGCAAGCGGAAAGCAGCATGAGGTGGAACACAAATCTTTGTACTACCACACATGGAATATTGTGTTCAGTCTGGGGCGTCTGACCCAAAAAAGGCCATTATGGAATTGGGAAAAGTACGGAGAAGGGGAAAGGAAATGGTCAGGGGGCTGCAGCAGTGACTTTGTAGCTTAGAAAAAGGGCGAGGAAGGGGAGGCATGCTAGAGGTGTTTAAAATAATGCATGGGGTGGAGAAAGTGGAGGGAGACATTTTTCTCCCTCTCCTTCTTGTGTGCTTTTTAAACTTTTGTTAACTGCGCAGAAAGCCTCAGCTACTGGTCGGTATAAAAATGAAACAGAGAAAGAAACCCAGGACTTGGACTCATCCCAAGAAACAGGTGAGTTAGAGACGCAGGACGGACCCAAGGAAGGCCTTCTTCGCCCAGCCACAGAATTCGCTTCCACGAGAGTCGCCAATTTGGCGACTCCGAAAGCAGATTAGCCAATACATGCAAAAGGGCATCCTTGGCTGCTAGTCCTCACTGGGACCTTGAGCAGGGAGCGCTCCGGCGCTCGCTGCTCGCGGAAGCGCATTGGCAACGCCAGGAAGCGGGAGCACCGCTCGGCGCCCCAGCCGGGCGGGGCGAGCGCCCCCTGGCGGCCGCGCCCGGCCGCCGCCTCGCCCGGCCCGCCGCCGGCTGCTCTCTGGCGCCGCCCAGCGGCCGGTTACTGGGACCTTG